CTTCGGCGAGGCCACCAAGGAGATCATGGACGACGTGGCCACGTGGCAGGAGATCCTCCTGTCCACGCCGCACCCGACCAAGAGATCCGAGAAGGAGATCACCGACCGCACCGACGCCCCCAACGGCCAGGAGGAGGACGCCGACGACCAGCAGGCATGGACCGGAGGCGGCGGTCGCGGTGGCCGCAAACGACGGCGCCAAGGGGGCCGGGGCCGAGGGCGCGGACGCGGCGGCAAAGATCAATCACAGGGCGGCGGCAAGAAGAACGAGCAGGACACCAACGCCGGCTGGTGGCAGCAGAAGACCGACGGGAAGAACCAACAGTGGTGGCACGGCGGCAACGGCGGACAGTCCAGCCAGCCAGAAGGCCAACGCCCGTGGCGCGGCAATGGCCAAGGCCGCGGCAACCGCCGCTAGGGACAGCACGGGGCCCCGTCGAACGCCCCCGCTGACGACGGGGTACCCGACCCACCGACCAAGAAGGTGAAGCTCTCAGGCCGGCGACCTAAAGGCGACGAGGTGATCGTGCTGTCCGCTTTCGACGGCGTCGGCGCGGGCCCGTGGCTGGTGTGGGACCTGGTGGGCCAGCCTAGAGCGGTCTTCTCATGGGAGGTGGACCGAGCGGCGATCCAGGTCATCGACTACCACATCCCCGACGTCCGGCACCGCGGCGACATCACGGAGGACACGCCGAAGGACCTGGCCAAGGACATCGAGGCGGTCGACCCCGACGCCCAATGCATCATCCTGTTTCTCGCCGCCCCGCCGTGCCAAGATTTCTCCAGGATCGGCGACAGAGCGGGTCACGGCGGTGATAGAGGCTACCTCTTCAACTTTACGGCTGAGTACGTCGCCGAGCTGACGCCGCTGATAGCACCTCGACGGCTTGGAAAATTGGTCGAAAACGTCGAGATGACGCAGGCAGACGCGGCGGCGGCCACCAAGGCACTGGAGTGCGAGCCCATCCTCTCCGACGCCGCCGACTTCGGATGGATCGGTAGGTCCCGCCTCTGGTGGTCGACGATCGACTGGGAGGAGCTGCCTCGCGACCCCTCGACGGGAGAACATTGGACATGGGCTCTACACCGTCGCTGGAACAGGCTGCGGCTGGACTCTCCCAGGGCAGCAGCCGACGACTTCGACCTCGACGGCCTCAAGTTCTCGGACTCCGTCGCCAGTGGCAGGATTAGGCTGCCATGTGCGACGACACCAGCAGCCGACGAGGGAGGCAGAGCCGCACCAAGGTCGACGAGAGGGAAGATCACGTCGGACACCCACCAGAGGTGGCTCACCGGCGGACGGCAATTCGCGCCGTGGCACTACGCCAGAGACGCCATGATGACCGACGACCAAGGTCGACTACATCTGCTGCCGCCGAAGGTGAAAGAGCAGCTTCACCACATGCCGGCCGACTACACGGCGAGATCCACCGCCGGAGCACTCGACGACCGCACTCGACATCGCCTCATCGGCAACGGCTGGCACTGGGGAGTCGCACGACGTCTTCTTTTGGCGCTGTTGGTCTTCACAGCCACGGCACCGACGACGGCGACCCCGGTACCAAGATCACCTAGCCGGTCGACGTTACAGTGGGTGGCTTCGTTGTGGGGACCCGGCGGCCCGATCATGGCGCCGGCTCCGCCGCGGACAGGTGTGGCGTACATCCAGGACCTCGACGAGCAGGCTCACTGGGACGCATCATGGTCGATGTCACACCCGCTGGCAGACGACGCCCCGTTGGAACCGTCGTGGGAACGACTCCTGGTTATTCGTCGAACTTGGCGCCACGACCTGGTCAGGATCCGAAGGGAAGTCGTCGACGAGGTCCGCACCATGATCGAGGACACAGCCGACGAGACCAGGGAGTGGCTGGCTGCCAGATCGTCGTGGGTCAGAGCTACGTACTCGACGCCGGATAAGCCGGCCCCGACGCAGGTGCTCGTCTTCCTACAGCTGCTCCGCCTCGTCGACTACCCCGACATCGACGCCCTCGAACACGACATGACGGAGGGCTTCCAGATGATCGGCGACATCCGGCCAGGACCAGGATGGAGGAAAAGGGACGACGGACGCTACCAGCACCCGACGGACATGGACACCTTCCGCCGGACCAACGCAGAGTACGTCCGCCGCAAGGTCTCCCAGCACGACGGCGGTGAATTCGCCGATCAGCTGCTCCAGGAGCTCATCGCCGAGAAGAAGCTGGGCAGAGTCATCGGCCCAACGACAGCGCCGACATGGCTGCACACCAAGGCCACGGCGGTGCCCGACCAGATCGAGGTGGACTCCCTGGTCGAACCGCCGCCCGGCGAACACTTCCTGGCAGGGTCCTTCCCAGTCTGCCAGACCGACGAGAAAGGCGACCTAAAGGTACGACGTGCCGAGGACTGGCGTCGCAGCGGGCACAACGCCACGGTCTCGGTGGACGACGTGCCGACACACCACTTCATCGGCAGCTTCGTCGACCTGGCACGACGCATGGTTCAAGACACCCCCGACGTCGTGGTCTTTGGCAACGACCTGCTCAACGCGTACCGCCAGTGGCCAGTTCGACGACCGGCGGAGTGCGGCACCTTCCTCTCGACCAAGCATGGCGTGACCTTTTGGTACCACCTGGCCATGAATTTCGGCGCTACGGCGTCGGTCTGGAACTTTAACAGGGGAGCCGACGCACTTCAGCAGCTACTCAGGGGACTGCTGCTACTGGCGACGGGTCACTACGTGGACGACTTTAACGGCCTCGACGACGCCCTCCTCGGCGAGTCGGCGATGGTATCGTTCCAGGACCTCTTCTCGGCGCTGGGCTTCCTCACCAAGGCGTCGAAGGCACAACACCCGGCGAAGAACCACATCGTTCAGGGCGTGCAGTTCCAGGTCGACGCACGGGGAGTCACCCTCAAACCGACGACGATTCGGGTAGACAAGATCATGGAACAGATCCGCCGGGCGCTCGACCAGGATACACTGGCACCCGCCGAGGCCGCCAAGCTCGCCGGAAGAGTGTCCTTCCTGACACAAGCGGCCTTCGGATCCGTCGCAAAGGCCGCGACGAAAGCGATCTACGCCCGAGCGGCCGACACAGCGGCATGGACGGCGGACTCCCTGTCCGACGGTCTCTCGGCGGCCCTACGATCCTTGGCCAGGATCTTGCCGACGATCAGACCCAGGTTCATTCCGTTCGACGCCAAGGAGATGGAGGTCGCGATCCTGTACGCCGACGCCTTCTTCACCGACGGGGAGACCAGGCACAAGGCCGGCCACGTACCCCAAGGGGTACGGCCGACGAAGAAGGCGGCGAATGGATGGGGATACGTGCTACGCATCGGCGACCAGGTCTTCTTCGACCACGGCGTCGCGCCGGAATGGTTTGTCAAGCTCTTCTCGACGAGGAAGGCATACATATACATGCTCGAAGTGCTGGCCCAGCTCGTCGCCTTCGTCACCTTCGGCGCCCGTCTGCCGCCGGCCATTATAGCCTTCATCGACAACACCGCCGGACAGGCAGCCCTTACGAAAGGATACGGGAAAGACGCCCCGGTGAACGGCATGATTTCGGCCTTCTGGACGCTTGCGGCGCACCAGGGGTGGTTCGTCGAGTTTGAGCGAGTTCCCTCCAAGGCCAACGTCGCCGACGCAGTCTCCAGAGACGACTTCAGCAGGGCGACGGCCGAGGGATGGCACAGAGTCTCCACGCCGACCGACGAGATACTCTCCATCTTCGCCCGATCGGCGCAGGACCTTGAATATGCCACGACGGAGGCGGCGGACGACCTCCTTCAGCTGGCCAACGGCTTCCACGTCTGAGCCGGCGCGTGGTGGAGAGTCGGTGCGCACGGCGGGTGCAGAATGCGCCCCGGCACCGACTCGTCGTTTCAGCCTGCTGATTCGCCGAACGGCGTGCTACAGCGCTGCTACCACACGACGAAAAAGAAGTCCTGATTCGTCGCAGTGCTCAGTTTGGTTCAACGTCGGGCAGAGTGCGACGGTTGTTGTGAAACACACGTGTGTGTGCAGTAACAACCGTTAACGACGGCCGTCGCTAGCACTCTGGCTCGACGAGTTCAAAGTTTTACCCACCCTCACCGCCCAGTTTTATTTTCGCGTTTCGGCGGAGGGCGAACGACAGCGGGCCGGGTGCAGAATGCGCCCCGGCACCGACTCGTCGTTTCAGCCTGCTGATTCGCCGAACGGCGTGCTACAGCGCTGCTACCACACGACGAAAAAGAAGTCCTGATTCGTCGCAGTGCTCAGTTTGGTTCAACGTCGGGCAGAGTGCGACGGTTGTTAGAGTTCTCTGGGCAGAACATAGAGTAAAGCTTTTCTGTGTTAGCCAACGAGGTGAAATGCATCAAAAGCAAGAGCTTGAAGGTGCACTTCCTAAATCACTCCGCCGCTATCCACGCTCGGGGAGATGTAAACAAGAGTTGAGTACCTCGAAGACTGCAAAGAATCGCTCGACGCACGTGATGAGGATGGTACGATGATCTCATGTCACATTCTACGTGTTAGTGTGACGCGTTCCATCTGCGCTTGGCAAACATCTCTCGGACTCTTGGCTTTGAATTTCGGCGCCTGTGTGTCTTCACGTCGCCTCACGTAGTAACGGACATTTTCCAGGACCTAACAAATGCTGACAACGTAGGCCGTGCCCACCTGCCGCATTCATTGCCTGCAGGATGCAATGCACTGCACAACTCACGAACGCAGAGTATCGAAAGAGGTTGCGAACATGGAAAGGTCAATGGACAGCTGTCTTAAAGGCCGGAAACTTTCAACTTATCTCAGAGCCCATGGCAAAAGATGGCAAAAGTAGAATCCTGTATGTATGATATATATGCTGTTCTTGGCTTGTCCTCCAAGGTGGCTCGCTTCTCACGGTGCGCTTGTTTACGGTCTACCCCCAGACGGTGCCAATATCCTTCGAGCTCCGTGGCTGCATTTTGGTTCTGGCTAGTGTTGGCCTAGCTGCCATGGCCCGAGGAACGCCTGGCTTGCCGAGATGTGGTCAAGCGGGGCCAGGGCCTCTTCTGGGCATCCGCAAAGCAGGAAGAAGCTCGGGATCGCTTCGCGATTGGTGTGCTCACAGGTTCCCGATCAGACAATGTCGCGTGCTCAACTGCTACAAGTTCTATGTCTTCAGGCCTTGTCTCTCCCACCCTGTCATCCTTTGGATTTACTGATGGAGGGGAGGAGCTGCAAGCTGCGGAGAACCGCTGACAGAAGGAAACTTCGCCTTCCTTGAACCCGAATCCAAAGCTCGTGGCACTGCCGAGACGAACATGGAGCGGGGACAGCAAGCCATCAGATTTCGGGATCAGTGTGGCCATGCCGGGGCATGCAGACCGGGCTTCGCATCATGCTTGGTGAGAGTTCGATCACTGTTCGGCCCACTGTGTGTGTGTGTGTCTGTGCGAGTGCACAGGCATGTATTGGCCAGTGCTGTTCGTTTTGCGGCAGGTGCCAAATCGTTTTGCAACAGATACCAAAGCTGGCTATTCGGGTGCTTGTGGGAACTGTCCAGTATCGACACAAGCTGATGGGGGGCACCCCTGCTGAGAACAACGGTCGCAGAACGCTCCTAGATCGATCGATTGCGCTGCTTATGCGAGACGTGGGAAACAGGCAGGTGAGACAACCTTGGCCAGGGAGTTAGTGCAGAGTTAGTTGTGTCGTGTGGCTGTGTATCACATTGCTTCGGGAAGTTCTATTTTCGCCGGTATGCCTTGGGCGGCAACGAGCTGCCACAGAACTGTCAGAGCTTTCAGGGTGCAGAGTCTTCGCTTGTTTGATCCTTCATGAAATCTTAATGACTATACAGTTCTGTAGAAGATCTGTAGATTCGATGCATTATCTAGCTGTTGCCAACTCTCGATTTCTAGGGTTTTATACATTCCAGAAGAGCTGCTTTCATGCAGGTTGTTTGCATGGCGGAGAGAGGAAAGGGTTCATATATTTTCGGGTTAGTAGCATTTCTGAGGCCTACAAGTGCGGGAATCTACCAGGGGCAACTCGGCTGAAACGGACATGGCAGGGGAGTGGTGTCTGCACGCTGACAACTCATAGAGTTGGGCAGCAAAGGTGGCAGTTTGAGACGGTCGTGATCTTGGTACTTTGGTGCTGTTGCTGTGTCTTGGAATTTCACAACAACTGCCTTCTGGGATGGCGATGCAAAGACCCTTGTGGTTGTCGTCAGGTTTGTCATTTCTACAACTCTTGAAACCAACCAGTCCTAGTGCTTAGGCGATGCAGGATCCCCGAGTTGTTTTGGGAACCGGCCCGACTCGAGCTGGCGCTGTTGGCGGCGCTTGGTGCCCAGAGCACTCTGAGCTCAAGAAACTGCAAACTTTCGCAGAGATCGAGGTGCTCCAAATTGCTTTCGTGCCAGCAAACGCGGTTGGACACTCAAGCAAAGCTTCTCTTCTAAGCGGTTTTCCTGGGGTTCTGTAGTGCCAGGCCCAGAGTTGTGTCCATCGGCAGAATAAGCATAGCATAACTCTTTGAGCCCTTCTCTAGATGCTCCTGACCCAGAAGACTGCATGAAGTCATTGTCCTTCATGGTGCAGCTTTGTGAGTATCAAAGCTATTGTTGCGTTGCTTGTCGCGAATTAGGGATGAAAGTTCCCATCCTTCCAGTAAGGTGCTCTAGTTGCTAGATGGTGTGATTTGTGCTGAAAAACACGAGGGCTGGTGTAAATTTGGTGCAGCTGGGGCTGACCGCATGCACAAAGAAAGGCCAGTAAGCTGATCCTGACCGCGCTGAGTCCAAGTGGTTGGGACTTTCAGGCAGGTAGTTCTGACAAGCACAAGTTGATACGGATCAGCTGGATGTTGGTCCCATGGAGGCCGTGGACGTCTGTGAAACCGTTGACGAGGCAGGGTGCCGATAGTTCGCCCCAATCTCTTGGCAATGCCGGACCATCCGGGGTCATGAGTGCGGGCAGATTCGAAGGCGGTGGTGTGTGTGAGGGCATCGGCATCTGCGAACTCGCCGAATGCCAGAGGCCCAGCTCGACTGGTGATAGGCCGGCCCCTACCGACCGAGACGGAGAGCTCACAGTCGTGGGCATAGTCTCAGGTGTTGATACTGGACGATATCTCCATCAAGGCGCTTTCCACTGCGACCTAAGGGCTCCGCAAAGGTAGGATGTGATTTTTTCAGCAGCATGTGTTGGCATGAGTTGTGGATGTTGAGGTTGATTGCCACAGTTTCGAGTGGTAGAAGCCAGCATCCAAGCACATTCTTTCAAAGCGGCACATCATCTTCCCGAAGGCACAGATCCTTTTCCAGAGGGAGCTCCGGAACGCCGGGACCCTAGGTCTTCAGTGGTATTCAGCAGTTCAGCGGAGTTCAGCAGCGTGCAGGCGGCATTGCTTTGGGCACGCGTTGTATCTGTCTCCAGCACTGTGCATGCTATCGGTGCCGTTTGAGAACTCTTTCGCAGCACCACGTTATCTGCCGCGCTGCCTGATCTGCACCTGTCTATAGTTCGTGCGATTCTGTGCAGAGCTGCATTGGTGCCTCTGCTGTCTGGAGTTACTCTAGTTCTAGTGTGTCAGAGGGCAGCACTGCCTAGTAAGTCCAGTACGGCTACCAGTGCCTTGTGTTGCAAGGGTGCTAGCACCTCCAATCGCTGAATCACTCACTCAGTCAGTCAGTTGGCCAGTCAGTTGGTCAGACAGCCAGCCAGCCAGCCAGTCGGTCAGTCGGTCGTCAGTCCCTCAGTCAGTCACTCAGTCAGTGCGTGAGTGAGTGAGTGAGTCAGACAGTCAGTCAGTCAGTGAGTCAGCTTGGGCATTTTCGTAAAACTAGCAGAATGCCGAGGCGGTTTTCCGATCCTCAACCGTCAGTCTGTCAGGCAGACAGTCAGTCAGTCAAACACTCAACCAGTCACTTAATCAATCAATCAATCAATCAATCAGTCAATCAGTCTATCAATCAATAAATTGCTGCCCTCTTGGCGCGAGATGTTGGAACCTCTGTCAGGTAAGACTAGCCAGTGGCCGTAACCTCGGACCTTCGTGTTCGATGTCTTCATGCGGGGCGAGGTGGCCGGCATGCGGACATTGAGCTGCTGAGGTGGAGGAATTGCTGAGTTCGAGCTCGCAACTTTTGCACTTGGACAGATGGGCAACGAGGTCCCCATACGTTTGGACTGTTGTATCATGTTGCCTCTGTTGCCTTGTCTCGGTTGCACGTGCGAGGTCGCCGCAGACTCCAGTGGTTCCTTGGTGAGTCCCCCAGCCCAGTCCCATCGGAGACGGAGTGAGACCTATTCTCGCGGGCCTTTCAGGCCACATGGCGACTTCCAGGAGCCCTGGAGGCACGCACCGACTTCTGTACCACAAGGGCAAAGGGCTCCGGACTACGAGCGCGGAGGTGAGCTCGCTGCAGCTGGGAACCTACCGCAGTGTCGTGCAGCCGGCCTGTCTTTCCCATGTGCGAACACAATGAATCAGAGAAGGTTTCCGCGGCTTCCGCACGAAAGGTGCAGCAATCTAGTTGGATGTTATGCGCCCCCTAGAGAGCAATTGTTCGTATGCATAGCACACCTCGGCAAGCAGGAATCGACGAATTGTCGCGTCGTCATGCCGTGCATGCGCTCCAGGTATCCAAACCCGCGGGACCGCATACAAGCCCCGACAGATACCCATGACGAGCTCAGTCACAACCACATGTGTACGCAGCGTCGTGTGTCAGCAGTCTACTGCGGGTCGGGATGCTCACTTCTCGGCCGAGCGACTTTTCTCCGGCTGCCCACGAAATCAAGCGCGAACGTCTGTGCAGATCTGTTCATTGCCGCGCGGGCGCAGCATCAGTCGAAGTGTGCTGTGTGCGCGTTGCCGGTGGGTCACCCGCCATAGCTTCGGACTTTTGACACTTGCTCCTTGCAGCCTGGCTGCCTCCAGGCTGTCGGAGCCTAAGCAACTTCCTTGCTCCGATCTCTGCCAGGTCCGAGACACGGGCGACATGATCTTCCAACAGCTCCCTCCACGTCTACTCCTCCGCGAGACGGTGCTTCCCTTAAGGCCATTCTGAGCCAAGAGCGGCCTTTGTCTTCTTGAACAGGTCTTAATCATCCATTTCAGTGTGACGCAGGCAAGGAAGCGGAGAGTGGCTGATAATAGTGGAAAAGATGTGCCGACATTTATTCGCACTGCTGCTGAAATCCAACCACACTTTGTTCTTTGCAGAACTACAGACGAGACTTCAGACATCCGATTTCCTGGAGATCGAAACCCGTGGTGCATCCTGTCTGCTGTCGAGGCGTGTTTTTCGGGAGACATTCTGTCTCTGGAAGATCCCACGGGAACCTTCGAGATGTTTCAGGACTCCCACGCCACTTACCGCAGCAGAGCGAAGCTGGCAAACCTGCGACGTCTGAGAGCTTTTGGCAACTCCCAGGAGAATGCCACCATCAAGCAGGTCGGCAATGGATTCATGCTGCTGGCTCAGCCTGAGGTTAGAAATGCCTTAGTGTTTTTTCCTTGCACGGTGCATTCGCCCTTGGTCCCCGCAACTTTCGCTCATTGCACATCGAAGCTCAGAAAACCGTTTAGAAGATGAAGTTCGATCAGACACAGCAGAAGAGGATCCAGGATCTGTTTCCATTCGCCAGCGCGGGGCCATGGAGCAGCTTCACCGCTTTGCTGCATCCCTTGCAGACACCAGGAGCAGAAACATCTAGCAAGCTGCAAGTTGTAAGCCGTCCCGTTCCCCTTTGGCTGCCCTTTTCATTGAACCACAGGAGTGCACAGCCCTTGGTGGACAATGCTTGCGCATCTCGTGCAAACAGGGATAGCTGGACCTACAGCACCCCGGCGCAAGCACACAATGCAGTTTAGACGCAGCATTTCTTGGGGCATCTTGGGGCCAATGGCTGGCTGTGCTGACCTTGTGTGATGCATTGTGATGCTCTGATAGTGGGCAGCTGGATGCAACTGGCAGGCGTTTTCTGCAGGGAGGTCTGTGTGGCTGAGTCGGAAGATCCGGATGCAACCTTCATCCCATCGATTGATTGGCCACTCTATGTTACGCTCAAAGAGGCCAGGAGCTGGTGGATGCTTTGCTTGCAGTTCAGGTTTAGTGCAGTGGGATGTCGCAGGACTTTTTGACTGCTTGCGCTTGCGCGTTTTAGCATGCACCTGCAGGCAAGAGCAGAGGACCTACTGCAAGCGAACCCAAATGCTGTCATAACCTCATACTCCGAGTGGCGCTCAAAGTTCAATGAAGGACAGCATCTTGCTAGCAGTGCCACGTCGTCAGGGTGCTTTTGATCTGTAGTGATTTGCCTTTCGTTGCCCGGGGCCCAGGTACTTGACCCTGCTCTTTTACCACGCCTTCCTCCTCCTGGAAGTAGAAGGCCGCCGCCACAGGACGTGCCGCCACGGGAGGCGTAGTCCTCGACGTCGGTTTTCGCTTGTCCGCGAGGCGGCCTCGGGATTTGGACGGAGAAGTACAACGATAAGCTGGAGCTTATGTACGGCGATCTCGAGACGCTCCGTGCTTTTGGGCAACTCCATCGCGCCACAGGCCGCGCACAGGCAAAGCGAGCTTCCATTGCATTTGCATCCTCGGACTCCGTCAGCGTCGCTCAGGCGAGCCACGGAAGCCAAGCTTGCAGCATTCTCATGTCACGCTTGATGCGTATGTGACGCTTCAAGACCTGGTCGACTGGATCTGTGGCCCTTTAGCCATTGTCTGGCGCCCTTACTGCTTGATCAACAGCACCATGGACCAAGACACATGTACAGATGCCAGACATGAGGCCTCGTACAGCAATAGAGAGTAGCTGACGCACATGCATCCTGAAGGCAACTGCCAACACTACGCCCGAGACTTGATCCAGTTCCTTCATGACAAGCGCCTCGCCGAGAACTTGAAATCCGATCGTGAGGCCTGTGCTTCGCAGCATAGCTTTCTCAGCCATGGTCCTTGTTTCGCAGGTGGTACTGTCTGCGGTTCAGTCAGAAGGTTGCCGGCTGCAGCATGCGACTGAGAGGCTGAAGGAGCTCGTTTGATGCAGGGCAAGGACTCCATTGGCGGCCGATGATGTCACAAGTACAGCTTGAGAGGATGATCGGTCGCTTGTCCTTGCTGCTGTCTCTTCAGATGGGGCTGCTCTCGCTTTCGCTTCCAAGCGACTGCACCTTGGCATATGTAGGAGAAAGTAGACTCGAGCCTGTCTTACTTGTGTCTTAGTTGAGAATTCGCGTGAGGCGATGCGACAAGGGACTGGCTTTGGCAGCGGTGACGAAGTGTGGGACTGCCTTGCAGTTCTGTGCAGCTTTTCTCCAAGAAGATGAAGACGTCGTTGGCGGCTGAGTTTTCGCCATGGCATGGGAGTTAACTGCGAAGGTTCGCGCCCCTAGCAAAACGAGGTCTTCGCGGCGGTCGGGCAAGACCCCACAGCGTTACGATTTGCACCCCATTGTAAATGGTGCGTGATTTGCTGTACACTGCCAGCCTTAATCTGGGGGGCTTCCAGCCTCCGGATGGTTTCCGAGGCATCTACTGGGATGAAATGCAATCCCTCTATTATCACTGCCGCTGCAACAGAAGTGTCCGGCGACATCGACTGGTCTCGCATTTTCACCTGTCCCTTGGTTCAAACCGCTGGTGCGTCTGTTGGAACCTATGTGCGAATGCTTGCAATGCTTCGGGCTCTGCTGATCCAAAAGGTTCCGCGCTCACAGAAGATGTCGATGTGGCTGCAACTGCAATCGGTCAGGAACCAAGCGTCGAGCGACCATGGAAAGCAGGTGCTGCATGCATGCTTTGTTCAGGATTGGACTGGCGAGCTGGTGAATATGTATCACCCGGTCTCCGCTCGAACAGTCAGTTCGTGAAGAGTGCCGTGCTTTGGACTGCCTTTCTGTGCCCAGGGGTGAGATATCAAAGATTCTGTGGGAAACAAGAAATGTACCGGCCGCTCGTGACCTCGGTCTGTACATCTTAACTTCAGAGGACAGGAGGGCATGGTGCTCATCTGTTGTTTTAATGGCCATCCGTCGATCGTTCCCATCGTTGACACTTACATGACAAAGCAGTTGGTGGAGCCAAAAACCACAGATGCACGTTGCATGTGCGTACAATGCATAACTCTGTCAATCTGTGTGTTGTGCTTGACGCATCAGCGCAATGTAGATCCATGTAGGTGCTCCTCAACGGTCTGGTGCTACAGCTTGTGCCGGAGAATGTCCGGCAGCACGCAACCGTGCTCCGTGCCGTGCAGCAGAATGGCCTCGCCCTCCAGCCGCTGCCCCGGCCGATCACGCGGGCTTGTCTCACGGGCCTCGATGTTCCTGGTAAGGTTCGCCGGTGAAGAGCTTCGTGCTGATCAGCGAGTGGTTCGTGAAGCCATTCTGCAAAATGCAATGGCCTTGGAGTTTGCCTCCGAGGCATGCGCAGCTGCACATCTTTCACGATCTGGTAACGTACTGCACTTGAGTTGCTACTGAGATCTTGAGTAAGCGTGAGTAGAGGCTTTGCTCCCCAACGAGTGTGCACAACCTTAACAGTTGCTCGCGAAAGGCCCGCGCCTACCGAGTTTGCTGCACACGTCGAATTCACTGTTGAATCTCGCCTTCCGAAACGCTCGAACTGTCTACAGTCACTGCCGTGCCTGGCAGCGCCCCGCTCTCGGCTTCTCATTCGGGGTTCGTTCCCCAGAACGCCACGCAGCCTCTCGGGATCGTTCGTGTGGTTTCCTAATGGCTACCGTTACGACGGGTTTTCGCAGCATCTTCAACAAGTTCAAAGCACCCAAAGTGATAGCTCAAACGGCCCTGGCTACAAGGCTGCTTTTGCTCCCTTCTTATGAAGCTGATGTTGGCTTCAACAGGATCTGAAGATTCTTCTGAGTCCAGCTCCCTTCATGGGCATTTGCGCACGGCATTGTCCAGGACGTCGTCTAGGATATCCTGGATTCGGTAGGCACATTGGTTGTGAGTCCAATTCCTCTCATGGGCATTTCGTCGAGTTCTCGAAATAAATGTGATTGCGTGCCGTCTGTCTCTCCCAGTCTTGTGTCGCCAGCCCTGCCCGTTGAGCTTTCGACCGCGCCTGTGGTTCTCAAGTGTTAGACACACCATGCGGCCTCTTCGGGCCGTGCACGTTGGTGTCATGCTGCCTTGCGGTTGTGTTGGAGGGGCGCTTCTGTGAGCTGTTCTTACTGTTGCAGGTGCTACGAACCCGGCGAGACGTGGTTCTCATGGCTGTAGTCAGGAACGGGCACGCCCTGCAGCTCCGTGGCTCAAGTGACAGCATCGCCAGCAGCGATTTTGACAAATACTATCAAATACTGACTTTTGCCTGACTTTCGCTACCGTGAGGTTTGCTTCCGAGGACCTGCAGCAGGACCGATGCGTGAGCACGAAGCTGACAACAGGCTGAGGTCATTGCATGCTTCATTTAAGCATGCTCGCTTTTGCTTCTCACTTTGGGTGCTATTGGGCATGTGCAAGCACACAGCTCAACAGCCTGAATCGGTAAGATGCTTCGGCAGCGAGTCTTGGCCCTTGGGGAGTGCGAAGGGCTGCGAGCGGTGTTTCTCGCCGAAGTTGATCAAAAGAGTGATCTGATGCATTAAGCGGGAGAGCTCCCTCGGGCGTGAAGGGATAAGTGTTCTGACCTCGCGAAGCGCAGGCGGCATGGGTGGATTGCGGTGTTGCGGTTACCATGGTTACCACCATTCTGAGATTTTGGACCAAACTCGCCTTCTTTGCACATGACCGCGTAATATCGAATACTTTGTCGCTTGCCAACTTGCTGCATCTCACTGCCGCAATAGAGCTGCGCGTATTTTGGTGTGTTCTGTGTTTTGGGGTTGGAATTCATGCTTCCATCACGGCCGCACAGATTTGGGCTTAACTATGCTTAACGGGAAGGGCCTCGCAATTTACCTCCTTGGAGCTTGTTGATGGTTATGGTGCCCGTATGCGCCTATGTCTATGTGGGCATTACATGGGGATGTGTAGAGACATTCGCGCGGAACCCAAGCGAGAGCGCACTTTCAGGAAAATTCGCAGGCAGGGCAAGGAAGTCCTCGAAACACGAGAGGCTGAAGTAAACTCGGGGCCTAACTGCGTTTTCGCTTAGGTCTTCTGAAACTCTGCTTCAGTTCAATTTTTTTCGGACGTATTCCTCAACTGAAGCACGCAACTCCTGAGGGTAAAGGGTTAGTTTATTTGTAGCGTTTAGCGACGAGTCCTGCCCCAGAGGACTTGAACCCCGCAGTATCAAATCCCGAAGAAGCTGAAAGATGGAGATCCTGAGGGCTAAGGGCTGTGGAGTGTAGTGACCAGGGAAGAGTTCCGCTGCAGGGTGTTGATCAAATTTTGTGAGAAGACAGAACTGCAACATCTTAATCGGAAATCCCCCTCCACCCGCCCACCACCTTTCCCTTCTATCCGCCCCTCCGCTATGACTCCACTTTGGCCAACCCCCCTCCTTGCCCACCTCCTCCCAAACCCAAAACCATAGGCGCCTCTACTGGTTTTATGAGATCCTAGAAGCCTCAGGGGTGCTCCTGGAATGGTTCTCGGCTAGGCATTGACTGCTAGGTGTGCTGTTTCACTTTGGGATCTTCGTTGGCACAAGTCTCGTTTTTCTTCTGGGGAAAGGTCCGCTTAGACCAGTTTGTGTCAACGACGGTCTCTTCGTTTCTATGCCACATGCAAGAGGACCACACCCTTGTGCTCACCGCAGCTCGTGGCGTGACTGCAGAGGTTGTGATGGAAGCTTGGAGGGTCGGAAGTTTGATGCTGCTAGGGCGTTTCTTCTTCGCTGACTGGAGCTGGTTCTTTCAAGACAAGGTGCCGTCTGAACAACCAGGATTAGCCACTTTGTGTCCCAACAAAGCATCAAGGAAGCACGCATCACCTGACAGGCCATCAAGGATCGGCGCCACATTGCCATTGCTGCCGTCAGCATGGATGCCTCTGCTTTGCCACACACCGGACGGCAAGCTGACAAGGAGGTCAGACTCATGCCATTGAAGAGATGCAAAAGTGCTCAGATTCTTCTGTCCGATGCCAGGTGGTTCTGGCAGCGCTGCAGCGGGACGGCCAGATGCTGGAGTTCGCAAGCGAGGATCTGCAGGCCCCCGAAAAGTTACGAACAACCAACAATGCTCATGATATCTCATGATGCTCGGTATGAGTCTGTGGGCAGCGGGGCGAGGGCCGCAACAGAACACTATTGTCCGTGTGCTTCCCATTTTCATTACTGAGTGTTCGTACCACCACTCTTCTCGCGTGGGCTGTTTTCCCCGGTTTGGCAGCATTTACCACACGGTTACATGTGATGGTGCTCATCGCTGTCTATACCTCTGTCGGCCTCATCATATGTGGACAACTCAGCACTTTCCGGAAATACGCGTAGATCGGGTTTAGGGTTTTAAGGGATGACATCTTCATCAGTAGTGCAGCTGCTCGAAACAGCAAAACACACAGCAATACTTCTGCAGGCGGACCCGAGTCTGGTGCTGGCGGCAGTGGCGTCGGACGGTACTGCGCTCCGCTTCGCTTCAAACGCGCTGCGGGGCTGTCGCAAGGCGTGGGAGCGGCATAGAGCGGCATCCAATAGGTAGGGGGGCAGCGTGAGTCTGCTGAAATGCCTTTTGCAGGTCGTTGTGGCGGCAGTTCGACAGAATGGTCTAGCTCTGCAATTTGCAGAGCACAGCCTGCGGTGTGATTCCGAGCTCCTGAGAATTGCTGCTCGGAGGCCAGGATTCTGGTTAGGATTTAGCACGAGCTCAGAAAATATTCAGAGTCATTCAGAGGGATGCATGTGTCGAAACGTGGGAATATGTCAGGTGGTGGTCCTGCGACTGGAGCTACTTATTCACCGCCGCCACCTCGGTGTCACAAGCATGTACAACCTTTTGTTTCGCGTCAATCTATGGGTGGATGTCCCGCAAAGCATTACAAGGCCTCTGTGACACGGATGGAGTGTCCGAATGGAATCAGATGGACCACCGTCTTGCAAATGAAAGCCATGCGCATTCAAAGTTGTGCTTATCGATTTTTTGAGAGACCGTTGTAAATTCCTTTCTGTTTGCGGAAGCATACCGCCATGCTTCATCAAGGCTGGTGTAGCCTTTCCATCGTTTCCGAGGCGAGCAATCTGCAGAATGACCGAGACGTGGTCCTCGCCGCAGTTCGCATCGATTGGCGGGCTTTGCAGAGCCGGGGCCGCGGCTGCTGGGCACTGCGTCGTCGGATCGGAACAATGTCGTGCAAGAAATAAGGTGTTGGAGAGAAGATGCAGAAAGATGTCCAGGCTGGCGAAATGTGACTCAGGCGTTCTGCATCTTGACAGGTTTACCCCCGGCTCTGAGACAGGTGGTTTCTGCTGCCTTGGCACAAAACCTGGGTGCTTCGCGCTTTCTATCCCGGTCGCTGCTCGAGAGTCGGGCAGAGATGCTGGAGCTGCTCGCGTGCAGAGGCACAGCCTTCGCATCCTTCGCGCATCGTGAGAGGAAGCCGCAGCCTGCAGCCTGCATCAGCCTGCAGACCAGGTGCGGCATTGCAGTTTGCCCCAGAGGTCTTCAGAGCAGATCGTGAATTAGCGGCTTGTCGCAAGCGGCTGATGTCTGCAGCGCAGAGCCTCTTTGCCACTCCCAAGGTCCAAGCTGCCGTTGTGCAGGATGGCAGCGCTTTGCAATTCGCCTCCGAGGAGCTTCGCAGAGACAGTGGCTCTGCAAGAAGGAAAGGTGCAGATTTCCAATGCCCTGGCAAACTTGCTCTGCCTTGCCGGGGTGATGCCGCGCTCGCACGTGTGTGTGTGTGTGTGTGTGTGTGTGTGTGTGTGTGTGTGTGTGTGTGTGTGTGTGTGTGTAAGTTAAATGCCGGCAGAGGAGGCCCATGGAGCTCTGTGCAACGAAGCTTTCGCTTCTGTCCTCAGTTGGAAATGATTCTGGCAATGGCATGGCTAAGCCCAGGACTTTATACGAGATTTTGCAAGTGCATCTTTTTTGCGGCAAGAGGCTGAGCCCCACCTCACGAATTGCTTGCGACACCAACTGTCAGTCAGTCTGTCTGTCAGTCAGTCAGTCAGTCAGTCAGTCAGTGTGTGTGCGTGTGTGTGTGTGTGTGCACACGTGTGTGTGTGTGTGTGTGTGTGTCGGTCACAAATGAGTGTTTGTCTGTCGGTCTGGCTGCCTGTCTGGCTGTCTGTCCGTGTGTGGGCTGACGTGCTTGGCGTGGTTGTGAAGTTCTCCCGGGTCTCACGACGGAGCCGCAGCGCAGGATGTGGACCAGCGGCGGATGTTTTAAACTCGCTTCATGTTTTTTTTGAATCTGTCGGAGGCAAGGGAGACAGTAGACGAAGTCGTGTGATCTCGGGCAAGAGATTCCCTTTGCACCGCAGCAGCGGGGTGGTTGCGGTCGGTCTGCTGGGCATGCTGCGTTGGTACCAAGGTGATCTTCTCTGCCTCGCAGCTGCAGCTCCAAAACATCGTTTGTCAATCTTTCGCACCTCTTCCGCAACTAGCATATCGTTTCGAACTTGTTGATGTTGCATCTGGGTATTGGATTGTGCTTGCAAAATCAGGCAGATTGAAGCTGGGCGGTTGACCACCTTAAGGAGAAGCAACTCCTTCGCTCTGGCTGCTGCAAACGTCGACCGCAGCGCATGAACTTCGCGGCGTCCAGCCATCTTTTGGCAGTGCTGACCTCATCTTCAGGAACCCGGAAGCAGCCCATTTCGCCGGGCAGAAGAACACAGATGAAAAGATGTTGGGAGCTGGAAGATCCTGTCTTCGCCGTCTTCGCCATCCCGAAAGATACCACCTGCAGACGAATCGGTGGCGGCAGGATGAAGGGGGATGAGCACGGCTTGCCGATCTGATGGCTCGGCAGTTGCAGGCTCTGATTCACTGATAGCCTTGGCACCCATCGTGGAGGTCGGCGACGATTCGAACGAGCTGTCGCGCTAGCATCAAGTGAGCATCTGCAACGGTATCATTTCTTGCAGACCTGTGCGTCGAGAGACGGCAGAACAATGAGTTCGGAAGGAATGTGGTGGGACAATAAAGTGCCAGTGTGTGCCAACCAAACTGCTTGCTGGTAGGTTTTGTACGTGTGTGTGTATAACTGTATCACAGAGATATAACATGTGTCTGGGTGTGTGTCTATGTTGTCGGCTTCGAGCATTCCATTCCGAACGTCCTTAACCCCGCACAAAAATCAATGTTTGTCTAAAGTCCATGGATGTAGGGGTGTTCAGGCAGAGCCAGGAAATTACATAGCGGTGTTCAATCCGACCCGAGGCTCGACTTTCCGTCCACTGCATCGGCCAAGCCTCCCAATGCCTTGGACATCACCGTTACAAGCCTGCACTATGATAGCGTCAGCATTCGCAAGACCATGCAAGCTTGACATTGCTTGACCTCAGGTGGAAGACGTAATGGCGCCTGGTGACAGGGCCTTGGCTGTGACACCGCGAGACTTAAGATCCGCGCGACTGTGAACATTCTTGCTGCTGAGACCGTGTACTGTCTGCAAATGAATGCGCGCCTTCGACGACAGCCACACACTAAGTGAGATCAAGTGCTGCCGTACCATTGCAGTTCCGACTGTTTTCACAGCGTGTGTCAGGATTGAGCAGCCATCCACGCATGAAGTCAGCAGGTGAGAACGGGTGTCTGCAGATTCAGCTTCGCATCCCATAGTACAGTGTGCATGTCTTCTCCAGTGGTGCGTTTGGGGCGAAGCGCATTCCAGCTGTCTCATAGCTTTGTGGAGCAAATGCAGGAAGCTCTTCAACTTCCGTGCATTCCGTGATCCAGAGTTCCGGGCTCACAGCAATGGTGTATGGATCTGTACGTGCTTTTGAGAAGCGATTCAGCGCCCAGGTCGCTGCCCCTAAATACAAACGATGGACTGATTCTCACCAGTCTCTTAAGCCAGGTGCGGAACTCGTATGCACATTCCACGTCTGGTCACCACATGCAAGTGACATTCTGGGCTTCGGAGTGCATGCAGGAAAGCTGGTCTTCCTCCTCGTTGCTCTTACCCTTTAACATGGCGGCACAGGTTGGAGTTGGGACCTTGAATGGCGCGTGTTCGCATTGTTGTTTCTGGATTAAGGAGAGAGGTCACAGCAGGACCTGGCAGGGCTGTTTCGTAGATAGCTTTACTGCATGTCAAAGATCGTCGTGATCTCCCCATCTTCGTGTATCATGGTGCGTGCCATGAGTGTGCTGAGGCCCCAGGGACGCAGATACAGGCTCGGGAAACGACCGTCAGCTGTCACTTGATGAGCAGCAAGACGCTGACTTTGCAGGTCTCGGGAGACATCCAGGCAACGCGTGCGCAGTGCATGGCCTGATCGCAAACCCGCAGTCCACATCCCGGCAGGTCGTAGACAATCTGTGGCTGTTGGCACCTGTTGGAGTAGCAACTCGTCTGGTAATGGTAATTTTGTAATGGTTATTGCATGCTGTGCATTGATACTTGAGCAGAGCAACGCAACTGAGAGGCCGGTGGCAGTCTCCTGCGCTGGGGTATACCGGTATATCGTACGGGGTCGTTCGACACGAGACTCCGGCAGCCCTGTGGAGTTGGCATCAGGTCATCGTCTCGCCCTGTTCTCCAACACCCTGCAGCGACCTCATGCAGGCGACTCTACAAGACGTGGCGATTCGAAAGCCCGCATACCCTCTCCTGTCAGCCAGGACTTCAACAGCACTGGTCGTCAAGCTGCCCTGCTGCTGCCAACCAGCGAGCGGTTCGGGCTGCGTGTGGAGCGCACCTCCCTGCAATGCTTCAGTTGAGCTTTGTCAAGCACCCGAATGTTTTGAACCGTCGATGCACAGGAGCTTCCTGCATCCTGGGACTCTGGACGCACGCCGCAGATTTTCCCAGTCTTTTTCGAGCGAGCCTAGCGCCAGACTGCACCAGGCAACGACTGGGTGGCCGTCGTCCCTGCACAGGACAGGCTTGATGGCATCAAGGCCGGACGGTCATCGCTCGAGTGGGGCAGTTGCTCCGAAGCAGTCAGGCGACCATGTGGGCCTCTGACAACAGCGTCTCGCTGCGTGCTATGCCCGCAAGCGTATCGAAACTGGGCTGCAAGAAGCCGTGGTGAATTGCTGCCCTGTTGTTACTTGTAGTAGAGGTCGTGCAGACATTCACGGGCAGTGACAACAGGGCGCGGTGTGTCTTAACACTTCGTGAGGGCAAGGAGTTCCAGCGCGGTTTGCTGTCCGACAGGTCAGTGAGCACCGCGGAAGCTTTGCCTGTGGGTCCGAGACCCCTCTGACTTGTGATGGTCATATCGTGGCCCAAGTTTCCGTCGACCTGTCGCACGAACACGCAACCACCGCAGCAGCTGCACGATTCGGCAGCTGCAATATAAGCACGTGAGAGCAAGATCTGCTTCGAGTTGTTCGTTTCATTCTGTTGCACTACGGTGACTTTACAGAGACTTTGAGGTACGCGGCCGTCGCGTTGACATTTGCGGTAGATCTTGCAGCTGCTCAGTCGCAACTAGCATTGGGATGATGCAGCGTTGTTGCTCGACAATGGTTGATCGGCGTAAGGGCCACTGCATAATATGATAAGTAGCCTTCCTTCGGGACCACACTATAAAGATGCAAAGTGTCCCAAGTTTGAAGCTGCTTCTGGTTGTTCGCCCACATGTGATGAGCAGGCAAGCTGCCAACTTGTGAGTATGCAAGCCACCGAGCAAAGACAATCAACAGCATGGCTGTAAGCCTGACCTCAGGCCCAACCACCTCTGTTATGGTTTCTGTCGAAGCAGTGAGCAAGCCGCATCAAAAATGCTTGTTCAATGTACACACATAAACCAGATTTGTTTTGTCAATGACTTGCATCAAGCATCAATAACCTGGATCAAGCATGCGGCCTGTGTAAAACGTAAGTTGTTCGAACGAAGTGAACTCCAATGGATTGACGGTGGTTGTTTCTTTGTTGGTCTCGTGGACAAGTTGGATGAGTTATCTCTGTTGCATTGTTTTTTCGGGTTTGGGCTGGTTTCAAGCTTCCAAATTTGTTGTTATTCACTCACCGTAAACAGTTTAGACGATATAGCGAGGCAGGACTGGGCACGTTTGCTGCTGCATAAACCCTACAGGCAGTGGCTGGAGAACCGTGTGAAATGCCTTTATGTGTCGCTGCATGTCGCTATTTATCATACTCGTACGTTTTTAGAGTGCTTCATGTTGGTCGTAGTCAAGTTTCGACAACAAGAGTTGATTTCGCTTGCTTCTTCTCGATTCCTCGTGACTGCGACCAAGTTGCGTATGACGCATCGTCTGATAGGTCTTGGCTCTTGAAACTGCCAAGTGTCATGTCTCGTCGTCGAGCGTTAAACTCAGCGGCGCCATCTGCCGGAGGGAGCCCGAGAATTTCCCCAGCTTGTTCTGAGGTGAGTCTGAGCCCTGGAGCTGCTGCTCTGGCACTGTTGGGAAGCGCTTCCCAAAGCTACATCCAGGCTATGTCGACGGCTCACGGCTGGCCTTATGGGCGGATTGTGGCGGATAGTGTGGGATTCTGCACAGGTCCAGGCTCCTGTCGGCTACGCGCTTCGCTGTGGTGGCAGCTTCCGCTCCTCGCTTCCGGACTCGGCCCGAGTGGACTGCCAGGCGTGGCGGCGTGGCGAATCGAGCGGATTCGAAAGAAGACCGAGAAAAACTGGTACAGTAACCGCACGGTGGCGTCTTTTGTAGCCTCGGTGCCTGGGATCTTGTCAGGTGGGGCCTGGACCTGGTGAAGCTGTCCTTGGCATTTCGAACGTGGATCTGAATGCGGCCGGCACACTGCACTTCAGCTTTGGCTTGGACACGCCTGCTGCGGATCCAAACCCAAATATGCGACTCGTCTCCGAGCTTGGTTGCTCGCAGCATGACAGGCCTGTAGCACTGTGCAGGTTTAGCATTGCACTTCGAGATGCCAACAATGTGACCCTGGATGCCGCGATGGCTGTGCCAGGCCGAGCAGCAACCAAAGGCAAAGGTATGCAAAGGCAATAGGCAAAGGCAACGATCAGAGAGTTTTAACGCTAAGCCGTGCGCTCGGCTCGCGTGATTCGAGCACTTGCAATAACATTCTGACCTATGCCCCCTACTATTGCGCAGAATCGTTCTCGGCATTGTATTGTGTTGCCTTATGGAGCATGTACAATATGTAACTTGTCGCCCCCCGGGCCCGGGGATTAGGTGGCCTCGGCTGACATGAGCAGTGACCAGGCATGCACATTCCGCAAGCCCGAGTGGAAGCCTTCGTCTCCTTGTTGGTGGTGGCCTTTGAAAATGTCGCCCGACTCCAGGCGCACCTGCCCGGTGCGATGTGCTCTTACACGGCTGGCCGCATCACTCGGGCAGGCATGGGGCGACGCAGCGCAGGAGCTGGGTGTACTTCGTGGCAGCATAGCTGCTGCCCTAAATATCGGCGAAGAAGGTCTCGCCGGCAAGATTGCATGAGCGCTCGAGACAGGTGCACAGCTTGACTCGTCATGCAAAAGCGAAGTTCTCATTGAAAACAGTGCATGCTCATCAAGATGTTGAGTTGTTCCCTGATGGATGCATCGAGCCAGGCGTTTCCGTGGACTACGTTCAGGCAGTGCTTGGCATCAGCGACGTGCGGAGATTGCAGAGCAGCGGGGTGGTGGCTGGCCAGCTGCAGGACTGTACATAATTTCCGGAGTGAGCAGCTAGCCGCTAGCCTTGTCCAATCCCCAGATCTCTCTAGTCTTGCTCGCGGAAACAGGTGAACTTCTCTGCATACTCCAGCTTGGTGCAATTGGCAGAGCTGTCGGATCGCATCGTCGTGGGAGGCAATGCTAAGTAGCCAAGTAGCCAAGAGCGGTCACTTGAATGGCTTGAGAATTGAATTCTTCGTCGAAGCCGAGTTTCACTGTTGCAGGCTTCGCGTCGGGACTTCAAAGAGAGCTGGGTCCACGCGCGATCGCAGCCGGCGCGGTGCCCACCAGGGGCGGTGCTTCGCGGCCTTAGAATCGCATCTCTGCTCAGGCCTCGTCGAGCTGCAGGCAATCTCTGCGCTGAGTGCTTTCACGGCGGCTTCCTGTTGCTCGTGGGTGCTTTGAGGTCACTGGTGCATCTGTGCCTTCCACACCTGTCCCCAGCCAGCCTCCAAATGTCACCGCCGGCCGCTTACAGAATGACAGTGCTGAAGAGAGCTGCAAACGCATCTCTGCCAAGACCCCGACGCTGCGCTGGAGCAGCGCAGGTGCGAACAGTACCGGCACCGTGCGGATCCCAATGAGATGGCATGTGCTTCTGGTAGCAAGCATCATGTGCCAGCACACATTGTGTCAAACCCAAAGGCTTAAGAAAGAGGTGGATTGCAGACTTGCAGGTGTCTGTGAACCTGATCTTCCAGAGACCCACATCAGCAATTCGAATCTGAGCTGCAATAGAAGCATCAGAATTCAGCATCAGCTCGGTAACGCCGTATGCTGCTGACTCGCAGCTTCAGCCACTTCAGCTTCTGGCTTCAAACAGCATCGACGTGTCAGACGCGGGCTCTTGGCCTCTTCCACTTCAGATGCAGGCGACAGTGAAGCCGAGCATGAAATCACGGGAGCACACACATATGGTATTCTCGTCTAGTCAACATGTCCATGTCTCTGACACCTGCATGCCGATGGCAGCGCAGCCGCGGCAAGAAGTGCATGCTTGTGGCATTCAGTCTGCCTTTCTTCGTGGCTTGGCCTTGCGCACGAACGCCTTGTTGTCGATGCTTCCCTCTGGGCGAGTTATCTATCCCGGAGAACAAGCCATGGTAAACTCAGGCAGGTTGCTTTACCAGAATACCTGCAACAGAGCTGCGAGCTCGACCGGAGAAGACCGAGGCTCAGGGAAGTCGTCGAATGCAGTCCGAGACTAGGTACGGGCTTCAAGCAAGAGTGCCCCACAGCCCCAAAAAGGTCGGTGCACCTTTCCAAAGCTGTCCGCCAGGCGGTTGAAGCTGCTCGACCCAACAAACAAGGCTCTTCTGGAAAAACGAAGAGAAGCTCACCTGAGGCCCTTGTCGCTGCTCATGAAGGCACAGAGATTCTGTATAGGAGTTTTTGCCTTCGCATGGCGCGAGGCGGAAGAAGTTGATGCCTGGACCTATGTCTTCGGGAAGCCAGGTGAGCTGAGGCTTGGAATCGGGGGCAATCAGTACTCTTTTTTGATCCATCCATGTGCCACAGCGGCAGGCGCGACCTCAGCTTGGTGAACACGTCTCCAGAAAAGCTTTTGGGAGCTGGGCTTCTTGCTGTTGTTAACAGCTCAGCTCACTCCACCACGCTGTACAAGTGTGCTCGTGTTTGCCATCCAGCTGACCTCAGCACAATCCTACCCTAGGCTCGCTTGCTGAGGTTATTGGCCTTGCGAGCAACCTCTGGGGGCAGACGGAGTTTCTTTTCAGCTGCTTGGTGGTACGACGTGAGTTCCACTTCCAGATTGGGCCGTACACATCACGCTCCTACATGAATTTCAACTCAGACGTCGCGAAACGCCAGAAGCAGCCTTAAGGAGTCGTGCCAGCAGCAGCTGAGAAGGCACGCGAGCTGCGGCTCGATTCCATCTACGCCGTTGACGGCCTCAAGGCCGCGTGATGTACCAAGACCTGTCCGAGGGGAGGAAACGAAGCAAACAGGACGTGCTATGTTGTTCTGATGTTGTTTTAAGCAAGATTTGCTGCAGCATCCGGGATCAGGGATTGGTCAAACAACTTGGTTTTTGTTATTCCCTCGTTGTCTTCGCAGCCAGTATGCCCGACAAAAACTTGAAGGATCAAGCAGATGACCGGTACTGTATGAGACTCTGTGGTCGGAGGCGAATAACTGTGCTGGATACCTGTAGCCCTCCGTCTGGTAACCAGCCCCGTAGCTCCTGCGGGTTGCCAAGTCGTGCGTCACCGACCGGTCGTCATGTAGCGTCTCGAGCAGAAGCTGCGCATACGACAAAGTCGTCTTTGTTCAACAGCATGCTGCGATGTGAAATACCTTTTCAAAGTCGTATGAGCTTTGCTCGGTGATCAGATCCCATTCCGTGACGTCTGATGCCTGTGATTTCTTTTTGGCATCCCCACTGTGAAACCGCGGTCCGAGCACCACGATTCAAGCACTCGCGATTCACGCGCCCACAGGCCGGCGGTTCGAACACCGCCGATTCAAGGACAATTCTTCAGGCACGTACGATCCAAGCGCCCGCAATTAAAGCACCAGCCGATCCAAGCACTCGACTGCGTTGCATCAGAAGTTCCTGGAAGCCTGGAGTTTAGGGTTTGCAGGATGAAGGTTTGGGGGTGTAAGGATGTCGGGTTTGGTATTTGGGAGTGGGAAGGGTTTGGGGTATCGCCAGTCAGCGAGAAGCACTTTAGGGCCTTTAGGGCTTTAGGGATTTAGGGCTTAGGGTTGTAGGAAAAAAAGCTGTAGTGTTCACCTATACGGGTTTGAAAGTCTGGGAGTTTAGCCTTTGATGCCACTAGGGTTGCTTGGATGTTCGGTATCTCAGCACTTTGTCTGGCTTCTTGTTTCCGTTTCAGTGGGATCGACCTGTATAGCCAATGGTGTGCGCTCATTCGCGCAGCCAGTGCGCGCTTCTGCGCGAGTCCATGGTGTCCGAATCGGGTGCTGGTGAATTCAATTGGCGAATCTCCGGTGCGCGAATGCTCCGCGTCAGTGCTCGATCCGTCCGGGCGCACATCCTCCACAATGCACGGAACCCTGGTCACCGAATCCATTGGCGCAGTGTGTGGATCCGCCCTGAGCGAACCCGTGAGATGCGCAAATCGGGTCTGAATCGCCATCAGCTGATTTTTAGCGGAAGGTCAGCAGTGCTGTAAGTGGCTTTGTTAGACAGTAGCCTCCGAGACCAAATCTGTAAAGATGCACCGGACCATCCGCTCACTAGTAGAGGTTGTGTCATTCCTGGCCCCCGCACCAAAGCACCAAGCATTTGCGGTAGGTCACGCCACGAAGAGCGAACTAGCACTGCGGTTCTTGCTGTTCTGACGAGCGGACCCGCTGCTATTGTTGACTGCAAGATTCCTGGTGTCGATTAGACTGATGCGTTTGTGCCCGGTGCTGCTTCTACCTTTTCTGTGCTTGCCTTGTTTAATCGTTCTCTTCAAGATGCACGAAACTTACTATGTGCTGCCAAATGTCCAAATTTCGGTGTTCTGAGTTCTGAGCCTGAAGCCGTTGCAAGTTGTCTTGCACATGGCGACACAGCGAAACGAATTCCTACATCGGCACGAGCTGTTCCTGACCACGAATCTGGGAGGCTTACTATGAGGAGCAGTACCAAGCCCGCTTCCCCAGCACATGGCTCTTCGACCAGCGTGTGGCTCTGTTGAAAGCGGGTCAGATGAGCTCCGATGATATGCTCGGCCACTTGGCTCTGCATGATCACTTCCCGCTGAGATTCCAGATCTCTGGGCTTGCTCTAGACCCCAGAGGCATGTCGCGCCGCGCTCGGCCAGGAGCAGCGCCACAGGGAGCAGCTCGACAGCAATCTGTGTGTACTGTAGGGAGCTTCGCTTCAGCTGGCTTGCAGTTCGGGCACGAGGTTGGGCCCGATGCAGCGTGGGGTCCGGCGGGCGGAGGCGACCGCGGCCTGAAAAGCCGAGAGAACCTATCGGTGGCTTGTCACATCCTGATGATTTTCTGTTAAGTTCCGGTACATCCGAAAAGCTGGTCGAAAGTGGAAGAACTGCGGAAACTGGCTGAGAGTGTCCATCGCGCGACTGTGTGACATGGCCCAGGTGGTAAAGCAGACTTTGCCTCCCAAAGCGCCTGGGCAGCCTCAGCAAATTTCAGAGAGACTCGCCGGCAGAAAGCAAGCGCCCGCGATGTCTCGTGTGCATCACATTGCGGTCCCGGAAATGTGGTTAAGGATCCTTGGCGACCCTGAAGCATCGCTGGAAAGGCTTTTCCATGCTCATGCCAAGTGTATCCCTTGTGTATTACGTCACTACGAAAAGCATGTCTGACGGAAGTGTTTGGCTGCCACCGTCAGGCTTCTCAAAGAAACCATTGCTCCAGAAGGAGCCAAAAAGACAGCCGAAGCTCTGAATGCGATTAAGGCACAGACGGGGAGTCCTGGATTCTTGTGCTTACGTGTGTCGGCGATATCTGGTCTGACAGGTTGAACGGGCTGGAAACACGTACTACGTCACAAAGCTGCACACAGTCAGAAGAAGTGTCAGATAATCTACCTGCTGCAACGCAACCCTGAGATATGTAGGTCCTTGCTGTATATACGACAGGAGTATCAATGGCGCACGACTTTCCCATCGGGCGCAAAGCTACGGAGCTTCAGCAGCTGTGCCCTGGGGCCTGCAGACCGGCGAGGCAATCGCCTCTCGGATCTGAAACCACCGGCATTCCAATTCTTTTTTTCTGTCGTGTGCGCGTCATCTGCTTCCGAGGCAACCTGTACACCCTTACTGCTGTTCTACCTGAGTCGGAGGTGTTTGATGGCCAGGGAGCAGCACCTCTCATTCCTGAAATCATGGAAGGATTTATCGTCCAACCAGAATCGGATTGAGGTCTCTGGGTGTGCGCGCTTCTGCTAGAAGCTTGTTCGCCTGTGAGAGCTTCACGACACGATGACACGATGCAGGAAGCTCTGAAGATGGTCGTTGGGCTTGCGACCTGCCCGGCTTGCCCTGTCCAGTTGTCGGTGGGTCCAGAAAGGCTTTCGATGACGACGCTTTCTGACGAAAGCCAGGATGTGTTCTTGCTGCGGTGCTGCCCCACCCAGCGGACTGGACCGCGCGTGCCAGATTGCGACTGCAACCTCTCCGGAGAAAACGGGCGCGGGCGGCTGGTGCACGTTCAACGGTTGCCACGCCGTCTCTGAGCGCCTGGCATCACCCGAGGAGCAGTGCTGATTCAAATGCCTGTCGGCTACAGCCACCTTCTTGTGCCGGAGTCTCGGCGAGTGCTCACTGTGTCTTGGCAGATACAGAAGCAACAAGACGCAAGAAGGTCTGTGGACGACATCCGCATCATTCAGAGAGGTGCTACGAGTGCATTCCCCATAGATCAGCCACAGGCCTGATTCACGGTCTTATAGTCTTCGATCACGAGTTGTGCGATATTTTGAGTGTGATTGCACCTCCCCGTAGAAATCTGTGCTCAGACTCGGTCAACCAGCAGCATCACGGTCGCTTGGACAAAATACATCAGCAAGTGCATAGCTGTCCCAGGGATTGAGAAGAGAGCCCCCAAGGTCCTCCTGAATCCTGGAGTTCTGGACTCGGACAACATGTTAGAAGAATGCTTTCAGTTCTCCGGTGAGGCAGCCAAGGAGCTTTGCAAGTCTCGTGTTTGGGCGGAGGCGACTATCGCTGCTGGTGGGTACGGGCAAGGACCCTAGCCCCAGTGGCCAGTCTTGCGTCGAAATGCTGAGCGGCACGCTAGCCTCCCAAGGTTTGAGTTCCCGTTCCGCATGCCGGGCGAAGATCCCATTCAGAACCTCGGAGTCGACTGTTAAGGCTTTTTGGTGGGTCTAGTTTCAATGCCACGACGTTGTAGATTTCTTGTAGATCAGTCCAGATCGATTCAGCACTCCTTGACCTGTTTCTGAGGAACATCTGGACGGTATCCCTGTGCTCCGGAGTGTATTGCACCTCTGCTGCACAGGAGAGAGGGCAACGTAGCTCATATGCTCTGATGATCTTTCAGCTGGTGACCGGTGACACCCTCCTCCTTGACGTCAACCCACGTTAGTGCTTTGGGCCTTGCATTTTGTGCACCTTCTCTTCCTGCTGCTGAGACTCTGGTAGTTTCTGGAGTCCCTCGGTTTTTCATGACGACAGGGAGCTTCTGGCAACAATCTTCCATCTGCTGTTCGTTGATTTCAATTGGCTCCCTCGAAGAGAGTGGCCCACGCCAAATCAACCCAAAGCCCAGTGAAGACTGCCGGCTTCTCAGATTATGTCACAATTTCTGAACGAACAAACCGGCCTGCGTTCCCCAAGACACGCTTTGAAGGGTCCAAGCACTGCTCGGCGGAGAATTGAGGATGTCTACCACCGAAAAGGCACAAGTCTCCACACACTAGTCCAGTCAAGAGGGCATCCGTTGGATGATCAATGCCTCGTTTAGATTGTGGGAGTCTTCTGAGTTGGTGCCAGAGTATGGCAGATCTCTGTGCTCAAGGACAACAAGCTCGATGCTTTTAGATCACTGCGTACCTGGTTACATGTGCAGTTATTGCAACGAAGCTTGACTCTTGTATGCACTGTCCGCTGCCGCTCGAGGTGATAGCGCTCGACATGCTTCTGCCGGGCTCTAAAATTCCTCCGGCCTGTATGGCTTTCGGGCCATGCATGACAGTACGCATCAGTGCGTGTCGTAGTGCACATCCACGCACTGACACACCGACACACCCACTCACAGCAACACTCAGGTAATAACGAGCTTCGCTTTCAATGGCTTTGAAATCGGCAGGTTCCTTACAACGGCTTGGCATTCAAGGCCGGCCTGAATATGGTAGCATCCTGTCGCCTAGGTGACCTGCCGACTTTACTTAGACCTGCAGTGTCTGCATCCAGTCAGAGGTGGGCTTCGAGGATCTCAGCGGGTCTTTGCGGTATGTGTGGAATCGCAATTTCACTTCACTTTGTCGCCAGACTGTGGCCGTGGCTTGTCCTGGCCATGTCCTTTTGTGTGAACAGTAGATAGATCAGATAGATTCAATAAACGCATGGCATGCAGCAAAGGACTGCATACGATAACGCACTCAGCCGGTCGGCCAAGCCTGCCGTGCTGCAGTCTCACAAGAATCACGATAACTCATGGACGGCAAAGCTGTGCATGCAGTGACATGTAGTGGGAAGGGTTCAGGGTCCTCACGGAGGTTTGAGAGGTGCCCATGTCGTGGGACACGGCAGGCACAATACCGAGCCCTGACTTGGCTCCACCTCCCTTAATGGGAGGTATTCAAGTTGCTCAAGGGTATGTGGTCATGGAAAGAGTGCCAGCACTAGCATCCGACTTGCGACCTCATCCTGATGACTGGATCACTTCATCACAGGCTCAGCCTTTCTTGCGTTGGATGCCGCAGCAAAGCTTAGGGCTTAGGGACCGCAAGAGCAAGCTGGTTGAGCAAGTGCTTTGGAATCTTACCCTTTGCTAATGCGTGACATCACGCTTCAGCCGCAAACTCAAAAGTCAGAATCATCGCCTCGGCCGCCATGCCGGGCGAGGCTGTCCAGACACTCAGCGCCTGCAGTATGTGTGGCGTGCGTGTGAAGCCTGTTCGGTGGAACGCTACGTGTTGTGATCCTGCTATCTTTTAGATGCATTCGGAACCGTGGAGTCCTGTCCCCCCGAGGTGCAAACGAGGCCTTCGCACCATGCAGAACACCAGTACGAGGGCTTCTTGAAGGGGCACAGGCCTTAGATACGGACCTTGTGAGTGATCCCTTATCGCATCGACACCAAGGCTGGGCGCTACGTCCCAGGATGTGATATGCAGCAAGAAAGCCTCGCAGTTGAAAAGGCCCGTGCTCCTGCTCGTAGACAATCTAGGGAAGATGGCTATTCGCAAGCTGAATGCATGGCGGCTGCAGTGCTGGAGGCTACATGAAGCTACTCATTTTGCAATCGGATGCCACAGCCCAAAACTTCCCGCAAACATCACTGCATCGCTGACTGAGCAATTTCCCACTCCTGTGTCAGGTCAGAAGTGGGACGAGGGGAACCGGGGAGCTTCTGTCACTCACACCACTTTCGTGGATCCAGAGGCGAGTAGAGCATGGGCTGTACTGGACATGCTGGGAGGGGCACTGACTCTGGAGGTTGTCTATGCCACCAGCGATGCTCCGGACAAGAACATGAGTGTCGTTGAACTCAGACAGTGGTCAGCTCGGTCTTGATACAAATACCAAATGAGACCACCTTTGCTGGCCAGATATGAGCCAAGTCTGTGTGGAAGTTGTGCAATGCGTCGGGCCATGCAATGAAGGCAGGCCTTCAAGCCGGAGATCCACTATCGCACCGAGCAACGCGACAGGTTTGAAGACCCAGGCGTTAGCAAAAGTACTGTGCTACAGCAAGACATTCCACATTGCTTTGTTTGGCCGCAATTTATTCGCGAATATTCGGGTGGATCGTTGCAGGACCGCAGCCGAAGAATGACACTCTGGTTCCAGTGGTTTCAGCCAGCTGCTTATGCAATATCTCTGGAGCGCTTTGTAAGAAGCTGTCATTCCGGAAGCAGATGCATTGCAACGAAAATACTGAACAAGACAGATGTTTTCGGATACAGCACCCCCATCAGCGGTTATTCGCATACAACTGTTGTTCTGCGAGATTGAAGTTCGAAGGTGTGTCTGAGATTGAAGCCGTAACCATGCTGTAGCGTCGGTGAGCTGCACATCCTTTTGCTGCTCAGGTGCACTTCGGAGATGACAGGCGCAGAGACAGCTGCCTTCCATGCAGACCTGCACGATAAACTTCGCCAATGATCACAGGCCAGGCTACTCGCTGCAATCCCATTCAGCACATCGCAAAATAGCGCAGGACCGTTGCTTAGAGTGTCTGAGTTTGGGCTGAAGGTTGTCCACGTAATCCACGCGATTTCTCTCGATCAACATCACAGGAGGAGCACCAGCACCAAAAAGTATTTCGAGCGGCGGGGTCCGGCGTGCTGATTCCGACAAGTGCCTGGCCCAAGCTCCTTGGTTTAATGTCATTGCGGTGCCGCGAGCACTCGCCACGCACTGGTCCTGGACACCAGCACAGTCAGACGCTATGTTGAGGGCCCAGTCAGGTAGCCCGGATTCTGGCTTTCATATCTGACTTCGCAACGTTTCCTCGGTCCTTCTCCCTCTCGTGAGCAGATGGCTTGGCGCAAACAGTAGAGCGGATTAGGACGCATCAAGTGCCTAAGACTCCGATCCGGACCACGCAGTGAGAGATGATCACTTTAGGCCCGTGCGCTGCAATCCAGTGACTGGTGGACCCAGAAGCGACCGGCCAAGCACATGTGGGCGCTTCAAAGGTGTGCCAGCTTGTTGTAATGTTCTCAGATGCTGATGTCTACGACCTGGGTGTGGCAGCGGGAGTTCGGCATGATCGCGTCAGCCAAAACAGCTCTACCATTGTGCACGAGGCACGCTGGGTTCTGTCGGAGTTCACAGCTGACTGCCGGTCCCCGCCAGGCTCACGTCCGGAATCCCATACATGGGTCCTATGCTCAGATATCCTTTCTGACCTCTTGTATGGAGTTTTAAGTTATAAGATTCAGGGTTGAGGGTGTAGGGCAGTGAAGAAAAGTACACTTCAGCGCAGATAGTCTCTGTAATCTCACTAGGACGGCGATGAAGATACTAGAAGGTATGCATGATGATTATTTGTCACTTCTGACGAGAACAATTTAGTGGGGATGGCAGTGATGACGAAGGACTCTGCAGCTTTTATGCAGCACGCCGCGCACAAGACTTGCTGACACTTTCCGCATCATTCACGCACAGAGGTCGGTCGAGACGTCCGCCATCCTCGGCACCAATTTCTTATTGCAGAACTGGAACGTTGAGATCAGCACGACGAGTCTCCAGCAGTTAAAAGCAATAAAACTGCAGACGGCACGCACCCCGCGAGTACCCTCCGTGAACGCTCGTCCTCCGTAGCCCCGCCTTACCCCGCCCGTACTTGGCGCGTAGCCGGCGTTCCCGTGACTCGTAGCCCGGCCACCCGGCCCATACCCCGCCCGTACCCTCCGTAGCCCCGCTGCCCCGCCCGTACCCCGCCCGCACCCGGCGCGTACCCCACGTGTACCCTCCGTGAACGCTCACCCTTAGAACCTAAACGAGAACCCAACATCCGAGATGTTTTGGGAAAAAGGCAAAGGAAAGGAGCAGTATAGGATGGCTGGCACAAGGCCTGGACGAGCAGCGCCTGTCGCTCCTAACAAGAAAACTAGAGAGACAACCGGGTTGGATGCTCAAAAAGTAGGCGGCAGTGACAAGCGCCACACACTTGACGACCTTGTAGCCATAGCATCGAAAAGGGCTCAAAACAACAAACATGTGGAGTGGCAAGCTCCGACCAAAAGCAGTACCGAGGGGCAAATCCCAAAATCAGAAGCCAACTGCAGACTTCGCAACATTTGGTTGTTGCTGCTTTTCGCGGGCCTGTGTGAGTAACTTGATCCTGGCTTGCTATGCTGGATCCAGTCATGCTCAGAAGCGATGGATAACCTGCCATATAGGGATGTCGAGTGCATGAGAGCCAATGAACCGAGGATAGCAATTCCCCTCCACGCCTATGCCAATCCGAGAGGAGAGTTGGGAAGGAGTGGACCCCGTGTGGTTTGCAGATCTTACTCAAGCTTTGCGGTTTGCTCATGTCTGCTCTTGTTGGAGGAGTTCGGAGCAAGTAGTGGCAGAAGCCAACCGGATGGTTCCGGCGCTGCGATCCTTGGCTGCTGTGCGGTCGGGGTCCTGGCTGATGGGGGCAAAGTTCTTGTGCTTGTCGATGCCTTGAGGTTGGCAACGTCAAAGCCAAGAACTGTTCAATAATTAGCTTTGTCAGCCACGAGCCTTGCTAACTTTAGCTTGCGTAGTTTCTTGTTCATCCTCGTGGTGACTCTTTGGGGTCTCCGGCATGTTGGTTGGGATCCTCAATGGCGGTCCAAGGCTTTGTTCTGGCATACCAAAACAGATAGCAGGAGCAGGAGGAGCAGAGGAGGACGAGGAGCCAGAGGGGGCATAGGAGGAGGCAGCAGCATCCACGGCTCCGGCTCTGGCTCTCTCTCTTTGTCTCTCCCTGTCTCTCCCTGTCTCTCTCTGCCTCTCGCTGTCTCTCGCTGTCTCTCTCTGTCTCTCTCTGTCTCTCTCTGTCTCTCTCTGTCTCTCTCTGTCTCTCTCTGTCTCTCTCTCTCTCTCTCTCTCTCTCTCTCTCTCTCTCTCTCTCTCATCACCCAAGCCTGGGGTCACAAACCAGTCAAGTCATCAATCTCATCTAGCTGTTAATTGTTTATGTAGAGCTGACTTCCGACACAGCAGGGCTGCTGAAAGACTGTGACAGGTCAAGGCGTGTTATTGGAGACCTCAAGCAAGGGCGCATTGCAAATTCATTTGATTCCCATTGCCTTGTACGAGTCACCAGAACACAACCAACGACGTTGGTCCAACGAGGGCTGGACTCATACCCAATGAACACATCAAATCGAGCTGCACCGCGAAGGTTTAAAATAACGCATACCCGTACCATGAGTGATGGCAGAGTTTCTATATTCTAGACATGGTTTGATCTCCCGATTCCAGATGTATCAGATGTTGTCAGGGCATGATCAAGATCTCGTTGTATCTGTGAAGAGCTATCTAGCCCTTTTTGAAGATGTCCCTGTTGTCAAACATTTCCTTTCTTGTTGATGTGGACTTGTCATATTTCATAGCAAGCATTTTTATGGCAAATTTTGGAAGTTCATAGACCGGTTCAAACCAGACCCGGAACATTGCCGCCGATTCGGCACTGGGTGGATTCCGCACAAATCCCCGACTAGACAAAGAGGCGGCTTACATTAATAATGGTAGTCCAGCGGGTCGATCGCTTGTGATTTGCCTGGTGCACTTGCTGAGATTTCCGTTGGAATGCTTGTGCAGATCAGGCCGCATTGCTGATGCTGCGCAGTCGGGCTGCTCCGCTGATTTGCGTTCGTATTGGAGAGTGTTCGCAGAAGTCTTCGTGTCTGCTGAGCTGCGAAGTGTCCAGCCAGCTTGAGGATAGAATCCACAGCTGTGCTCCCTTAGAATTGTTCTGGCGCATGCGGAGCCTTTTTCCTGTGCTGGTCAAGCTTGTTCAAGTCATCCTGTCACGTTCACTACATGGCCGCAAAATTGTGGTCATCGTAGTTTCACCCGGGGTGTGACCGACTGTCTCAAAGAATGGTTCGAAACTGGTAACTAGCAGCAGCTACAGCAGTTGGCTGGTCTCATTCCGGACTTGCACTCGCGTGCCCTGTTAACGAAATCCCGTCGCAGACCGATTGCGGTGGTGAGTTGCATGGAAAGGAGCATTTGAAGGCAGTACGACAGGGCCACCATCGCGTCATTGAGCATTGCAGCATGGACTTGAAGAGATGCCCTTCTGCATTGCCGTGCCATCTTCTTGCGGCATTTAGCATTGCTCGGGGTGGACCGTCCTTGTGTCTGACTGTACAGACAATGGCTGCCGCATCTTCAGATGACCCGGGTCCACCAGGTGGGACTTGAAAGTCATCATGAACACCAAAGTGTCGGTCAGTGCCGAAATATTGAGTGTAAAAAAGCTGACACGCTTGGTCCAAGGCTTGATCACTTGCATTTGGCCAGGTGAGAAGCGATTTGAAATCAAGAAGTGGAGCGCGGTGGGCCCTCGCATCCCTCTTGTTTCCGCAGTCTGTTCTGTGTGTGGCATGTCTACCGAGCTTGCTGCATCGATGCTTTCCGAAGTCTGTAGGAAGAGGCGTAGCCGCGTGAGATCGCTCAGAACTGCTGCCGCTTGCAGTGGAAACGAGGGCAGAACACCTCAAGTGCGTTGCCACCTGTAAGCAGCCTTCGAAGCTTTGATTTCACGTGGGTGTGGAACGAACGAAGCAGGCCGAAAGTTTACAGTAAAGAACCTCATCAACTTCCTATCAGTCCTAGCCCCGCGTCAGCGGGCAGCCTGGCGGCATGCCGACTGGAGAAGCATGCAAGGACGGGATGTGCTTCTCCTGGGGAGGGTCCCGGCATCAGTACAAGCATCGGCATGCTCTCCTCAGGCTCCACGGCCTCCACAGGTGCCACAGGCAATGGCAACGTGCGGACGGAGGATGAAGGGGCGTTCTCCTCAGTGGTTTCAAGGTGTGTCCCTTCTTTCTCTTCCGGCTTGTATCATTGAATGCCTCCAGGCCCGTTGCCCTTTTCTTCTGGAACATGACGACAGCAAGATTGTCCCGTCCTCGCTGCAGTCAGGCGATTGCTGTTCGGGGGGTCACTTCGCGACGATGCGAGGTCATCTGCATGTGCAACTACTACTCCCTGGGGCAGGCCGAGGCTGGTGATGCTCTGATGCATGATGCTCTGCTCAGTAGCTGAATACATCGCGTGAGATGTTGCATGATGTTGGTGTGAGGAAGGTGGGCCTAGGTAGCCAGGCATGATCAGTACGTTCGCTGCCCGATGCAGTTGGCCCGAGCGCTGTTGCAGATCATTGCCAGCAGGAACTTGGCCAAGGCACTGTTCTGCATACAACTTGCACTGCTGCTAGTGGCTTTCTTTGGCCGGGGCCCCTCAACCCGCGAACAAGAGCTTTCGAACGTTGCCCGTGCTGTCCAGGGTCGGAGGCGCAACAGGGAGCTGTGAAACACTGCATGGGCCTAGCATTTCTTGTCAGGCTCTCAGATGTCTGAGGAAGATCATCTGGTGCTCCAGTTCTCGGATGGAGGGCATCTTCTCACGTTTTCATCGGCCTCTGCTTGAGTCGTTTTCGGTTCAGAACCTTTTGCTTGGCAGGCCTGTGCAGAGCTCACAAGATGCTTCCATGCTTTTGCGCTTCTATGCGAGTTGCAGGTTCCGTGCCCGCTTGCAGCTTTACTGCTCGATCAAACATGGCACGTGACGGATATGATGGCGATCGCATAAAGGACAAAGGATGACAGCAGAATGCGAGATGCATGATTGCATAAGACACAGCTCGATCTAGTTCCTTCCTCGCCACAGCCTCGCAGAGCTGCATTGGTTGCCCTTGGCCTGGCTGAGCTTTAGCCGATTCGTGCAGTCCTGTTGTCACACCTGTCGTCATCAGGAATCATGGCCGTTCGCGTCACGGGACGGCGAAGTGGTTCCGGTCAACAAGCAGCTCAGAATCAAGCGGCGAAGCCGGCTTTACACAGAGGAAGAGCAAGATGGGCCGCCATAGCAAAAGTCGTCGAGAATGCTGGGTGCCAGGCCGTCCATGAATCGGAGCTCGAAGCCAAGCTCAGGCTAGCCCGAGCTGGGACCCCATGAAGATGTCACGGAGTTCTTGTGCGTGAGCTTGGCCGGAACTGAAAGCTGTTGCCTGCAGCATGTCTGCTCAACCACCTTGCAGCCTATAGCCACATACTCAGACGAGCAACACCCGCAAAAAACGCACCTTGAGCCCAAGACACTTCTCCAGCGCCATGCTCTGAGCTTCAGATGCGGCTGCTGTTTGCGGCTTGGCTGCTCAGGCGCAGGAAGGCGTTTCTTGCAAGAGTCACTTCCTTCGAGCCTCCGCAGGACATGCTCTGCAAGCAACTCGTCGCAGCAGGGAACCACCAGGCTCACAGTCATCGATGCGAATGGTGTACGGAATGTCTATGTGGCGAATGCGGCACGCTGGAATGCACCCCGACAGCTGGACTTAATTGCTTGGGTCTCGCCTGCGTGACGCTCGACTCTTGATGAACGGACTTAGGCATGGCACGGTGGCGACAGAGAGTGCCCGAGCTCTTCGAGCTGCTTGCCGTGCCAATGGCCTGAAAATGGTGCAGCGGCTGCATCCGGACCTCTGATGCCAGCGCCTGGCAATGGACAAGCCTGCAGCAGGCACGGCTCCCAAACCACACAGGAGCATACGTGGGACACCCACTGTGGCAGGGACACCGTGCCCCCAGCTCCGCCGCTCAGCAGCTCAGTGCTACTGGCGAGACGCGGAGCGTGCGCTTTTGAGGACCGTGCATCTTCCCTGTGAGGGACCAAGGCTCCGGCTCCGCAAGATAAGCGGCCCTCCAGGAAAAAGCAATCGTGGCAGCAGAAAGAGGCTACTGCGGATTGGTGGTCTTCAACAGGAGTTCATGATTGCACGTGTTCGATGGAAGTCGAAGAGTAGATGCTGTGGACTCCCCTTTGAGGCTATAGCGTTTTCCTGTCTCGTGTCTCTCTCGCTCTCTCTCGCGAGGAGAAGCGGCGTGCCTCCACCCGCAGTCGGGATCTTGGAGCTGCCGGACATGACAGCCGGTCGGGAGCGACACCTGGTCTGAGAAGGGAGGGACGGTGCCAATGCTTCAGCAGATTTCGCCTGGGCCCAGTCCTAGTGCTTTTGCGGCGGGGCTTCGGAAAGCGGCATGCGGGTCTGGTGTTTCACGGCATTTGACGGCTCCTCGAGCCCAGGAGATGGGAATGTGGCAGTGCCCGCTTGGCTCGTCTCAAAGGCTGCGCATCGACAGGACAGATGGAGTATGGAAATCCACAGTGTGTGTTTGGTAGGAGGACGGCCTGGCGCTTCTGGCTGCACTGGCCTCCGGAACCTTGCAGGCGGAGGTGCCCTAATCTCGCTTCTGCCCACATGCCACTGCGCTGCCTGTGCACTGAAGGTGATTGAGCAAGAAAGAAAGCCCCCATTGTGGGTCGCACAGGCTGCTCACTGCTCTGATTGTGCCGACGTGAGAGTTTGCTATCTCAACGTGCCAGGCGGACAGCTTCGGCATCCGGGATTACCAGCTGGACTAGGACCAAGTGGGAATTTGGCCCAGTCGAGCAATACTGGACAGTCGATTACAGGTCGCATGCATGCAGCGTTGCGATCTGGTCTACGTCTATGTCTCATGGATCGCGAAGAGCTTCATGCCCGATGATGCTCGAGGGCGTTCGATTGCCATGGGCAATCGCTGCAGCTGGAAGTCGGTGCTGATGGTGATCGAAACAGGTCTGTGCGTGGACGTCAGCAGCTTGTCGTCGTGTGGCACGTCAGCAGACATTAGCCGTTGCGCGGAACGCAGCACATCCGGAAAAACTGGGTGCGAGCAACGGCATGTCCTTGCAAGATGGGCCTAGCGGCAGACCTTGTCGTGTCACGCTGAGGCGAAGATCGGTCAGGGCCCTGTCTTTCCACCTTCGTGAGGGTCTGGTCGGCCTGCGAAGTTTGGGCCAAGGAGACCCAGATGCAGGGACGTTTTCGGCCACTTGGCGGCACTAGAGGAACAAAGCGGCTTGGTTTTTATCAAGCAGCGCTTCTCTGACACACGAGAGTTGCTGTTGGAGGTGCCGGTGCCGGCTTCATCGACTTCCATCCAACTGCCGCAGGGAGCACTCAACGACCATGCCTCAGACGAACCAGAGCTGACGAGATCGGTTTGGGAACGCTCTGACATGCTGGGACTACAGTATGCAAGGGACCGCCACTGGCAAAGGTCCGCCGCGAAAACAACTTCTTCGCTTTGCGCTCGTCGGCGCCCTGCAATCTGCATGCAGCAGCTCGCGATTCCGACGGTTGAGACTCAGGGAAGCTTCAGAACACCCAGTCTCACCCAGGTCAACGCAGGCAACGCAACCACGCGCAGCCTCTCCGTGCAGTCAGCAGGCAAGGAGGGGCCTGATTTGTTGTTGTTTTTACTATTTTGCATGTCCTTGATGGGATCTCTTTCTTATCTACAGGGCTCTGCATGCTCCGCAATCACTGCTTGCCGGCTGCATCGCAGGTCCAGCAATGCCCTCTGCAGCAGGTCCCGTTCACGCAAGCACAGATGTCCAAAGCTGAATTTGCAGGAGTGCTTGTTGGATGCTGGAACGACAAAGGACAGCTAAGTTATGCAATCTGAGGGTGCAGCCGCGGCACGGCGCCGCATCTCCGACGGCGTCGCAGGTGCCGCTTGAAGGGCACGTGTGCATACAGGTTGAGGCTGAGGCTGAGCATTTGCTGAGATGTCGAAGATACCCAGGGCTCACTGCACCGTGCACCTCGCCTGAGCTGGCCTCCGAGTTCACAGGTGGTCCGTCAGATTTGTCGCGTGGCCATGGCCGAAGAATGAACTCATGACGCTGTCATCATGGCAGGGACACCCGAGTGTTCCCAGCACACCTTGCACTCCCAGTCCTAAGCAGCCGTCTGAGCGAGGGCTTTGCAGAGATTGTGGCACGGCGGAAGTGTCGGAGTGCATACTGCAGCAGCATAGTGCAGCATTGGGACTCGGAACTAGAGCAGACATGCTCAGGCCATTGCCATGCCAGGGTTCTCAGACCAGCAGGACCTCGTGTGAGTCCCAGCACAAGAGGAAGCAGAGCTGCACGGCGGGGCAGCAGAAAATTTAGGCGGGAAGGCGCACCTACGCGGCTCGCCTCGAGTCAGGGTCTCAACGAGGGTCCAATGCCGAATCTGCAAGGTTCTGCTGTGCCTCAACAGTCTCTGCTTCTGCCAGGTCAGCTAGGAGCCATGAGTCCATCACGGCCAGCGGTCCAGGGCCAGGGCATGCTGTCAAGCCCTCCCAGCCGCGTGAAGGCCTCAGGTCTGTACTGTCTTCTAGCAGAATGCATTCCCTTCTTCCTTTGCTTGACCAAGTCCGATATCCTCAGCGATGGAAGCGAGGCTTGCTTAGCGTATATTCACGGCGAAGGTCTTGTGTTTTGGACCTGGCGACCTGCAGGTACCCAGTCGGAAGACATTGCCCTCCGGCGTGAGACTTCAGGCAGCTTAGATTTCTTAGATGACCCTCCATGCGACTTGGGTCCTCGTGTCGGAAGATTCGTTGAGTTTCACGGTCGCTCATGCGAGGTTGTTGAAATAAGGTTTCTGTCTGCTTTCTGATTTTGACGACAGTTGGCCAGGTGAGTACGCAAGAGGCCCGGAGCCATGCACACAAAATCGGCCACAGACGTGTCGGCAATCTGGCAGGACCCGCAGCACGGACTGCAGGCTTGAAATTGCCTCGTTTCTATAGTGCACCGTACAGTAAGGTGCAATCTATGCCTGCAAACTGAAGAACTTTCGACTTTGCAGGTCCAGAGTGTCATGGTGACGCCAAAAGCTGAGCCTTTCTTCGCGGGCTGCGCTTTTGTAAACTCAAGCTTGTGTTGACGCCCCCGAAGCAGTGACCACAGGAAAAGAAATGAGAGGAGCACCGAGGCAAAAGCAGTGTGTCTCTCCGGTCTCTTCGTCTCTGTGGTGTGAGCATGCGCATCAGTGCATGCGCGTCCAAATCCGCGTGCATGTGCGCATGCAAGCATCTGCCACTGTCTTTGTCTCTGTCTGTGTCTTTGTGCTACGTGTCCGTCCGTCTGCCTGCCTGGCTGTCTGGCTCTGTCTACTGTCCCTCCGTCTGCACGTACGTCGGTCTGTCGGTCTGTCGGTCTGTCGGTCCGTCCGTCGGTCTGTCATGGTCTGTCATGGTTTGTCATGGTCTCATGGTTTGTCTGTCTGTCTGTCTGTTGTCTGCCTGATTGCCTGGCTGCCTGTCTGGCTGGCTGGATGTCTGTCTGTGTCCGTCTGCGTCTGTGTCCGCCTTCCTGCCTTCCGGTCAGCCGGCCTGCTGGCCGGCCTGCCCGTCTATGTGTCCGCGTCTTTCGATGTCTGTCCGTATCAGACAATCCGTGTACGCCAACCAGCTAGCAGCTAGTTGGCTGGCTGCCTGCCTGCCTTTTTGTCTGTCTTTGGGTCTCCCTGTCTCCGCGTGACCCCGTGTTTCTGTCTCCCTGTTTCCATGACTCCGTGTCTCTGTCTCTCTGTCTTTTCTCTCTTCTCTGCGTCGTCTGTCAGGGTACAAAAGGAGGCTCATTGTGTCATCTCCAAGCGTGCCAGACTTGTCAGGATTTGCAGAAGGAAGTTGCCATCCTTACGAACCTCCTCCATCAGGACTTGTTCGGAGCCTCTGACATTTCGGAGTCTGCATCTAAGTCTAAGTAGGCTGTCGAAGTGGTCTATTGCGTCATACCTTTCTGGTAGAGCCGGATCGAAGGCTTGAGTCGAGGTTGTCACTAGATTCCGCTATGCTGACACTGGGGTCATTGAAGCGTTTGCTCTAATAGGAAGCTATTCGTTCTAAATTGTTGGAATCATCAGCCGATCTGTGATTGAAAATCGCCAGGAGCGCCGGCAAGCCAACGATGCATGGGGCTTGTCTTGATTTGGTATGCTCTGGCAGATGCTCTCGGGGTCCTGATTCCGTCAAAGTCGCCTGCAAGGCATTCAACAAGCTCCACAACAAGTGGTCCTGCGACCTTCGTGCCAATGAGGACTACGCATGCCGAAGACAGCCCGATTTGCATGCCGGAGTCGTGATTGCCAAAAGTTGTTTTGCAATTGGGTGTCACTCAAGGTTTGACTAAATTGCAGCCCTGTCATTGGCAATAATGTAGGCTGTCAAGTCCTGAATGCTCAAGGACTTCATCAAGTACTTGCACAACGAGAAAGATCGGTGCTTTGGCAACACATATCAAGAAAGAGTAGGGAAAGCCATGCAGTGACCGCGAACTCACTTGTTGGACAGCGCTCTGTCTTCTCACTTGCTGTCAAGAAGATCAGATGTCTGACAGGATGCAACAAAAGCTGGAGGCACTGATTCGGACTTTGATTGCAACAGTATGACAAAGCGCCACAGCATTTCTAGTCTCTTGAACAGGGCCTCGAGAATGAGCGCAAGGGTGTCATTGCCCAATGGCAGCAGCTTGTGGCGGGTTTCCCAGTCGATATGAAGCTGTGAAGCTCAGTCGCGCTCATTTGTTCTTCAAGGCCGAGAACGAGGACTTGCGGAAGGCTCGCAAGCTGAAGTCTTGGTACGTGAGCCGCTGGGCTTATGCACGCATGTTCCAGGAGCTGCGAAGCAAGAACAGGCAGCTGGAGGCACGACAATCTGCACTTGTCCTGCCTGCAGAGAACTCTTATTAAGAAGCATGCAGAGCCGGTGTCGCAGGGTGAGAACAGTGAGCTGAAAGAGGCCGTCGTATCCGACTAGCTCAAATGCCGAACCTGCAACTCATCCATGCGCAAAGAGTTCTGCGTACTGTGCAAGGCGCTAACAAAGCTCCAGAACAGGCTTGAGGAGTTGAACAGCTTCGAGAACTTCGCTGATGGTTGCTTGTCTTGAATTGACCTTCGCTGGGCTCGTGCACTCTTGCTTACTCGACATGCTTCTGTTGTTAATGCGACACATACCACACACTTCGAGGTGAGCTTGAAGATGCGAGGGCCAAGGCACATGGCTTCGCTTCCTTCCGGCTTTGCCACGCGAGCGATCTTCAAGTGACTACTCGACAACAATATTTTTTGCCAGGTAGCGAACATGGCACGCACCTCGCTCGCACAAAGGAGTGCCTTTCGTTTGGTCCGTCCAGAGCGCAGTAGTTGTGAGCCCACCGGTACCAAGATGAGCTTGAGGGTGCGCAGAACCAGGCAGCCCACGTGAGTCCACGTGCTCGGTGACCAGCAGATCTCATTCGCAAGTTTTCTCGGACAGGTGGCCAAGTTGCAGAAGGAAAATGCCTCTTTGCAGAAGCAGGCTCGACCGCTCTCAATGCTGGTCGGCCCGCACAAAGCTGTCCAGGATCTCCAGCTGTTTGTGTTGCCTTGTGTTTTGTTATTGCTCTTGTCGGCAGCTTGTCGTGTCTACTGCAAAGCGGCAAAACAGATTTTGTCCCTGAGGCCAGAGCAACAGCTCTATACCAAAACCAAGACGCCGAAAGGCACAAGTTTTCTCGCACTCTGTTTTTAAAAGCAGCCCAAGATGGCCCAAGCCTCTGTCACAAGGCCATGTAACTCTGCACGCTGAACCGTATCAAGACAATGAGCTGAGAACCTTCCATCCAATAGTGAACCAACACATTCATGGCTTGCAAGTCGACCGCAGGTCTCAAGCTTTCCTAACCTTTTCTGAAGCAATGGCTAGGTTTCAGTTTCAAACGTTGCGCAGTGCCTGCAGGTAGAAGTCCAGCGCAAGCTGCGTGAGGATGAGCAGAGAGCCTCCGAGGACGGCCCGTCTGCTGAGCTTGCGGGGATCTTCCGACGGTCTTCCGATCAGCATCTCGCCATCAGGAAAAGAACCGCCGCTGGGCTCGGGAGTGCAGTGGCGTTGGAGCCGGCACCGGAGAGGCCGCCGCCCCTCACTTCCCTCGCTCGGTAGGGCCGTAATGGGCCGTAGATCTGCGGGCGGCCACAAGGAAAAGGAAAAGGCTCCAGGCCTCGAACAACCTAACGGCCATTCGACTCGGCAACGGGTCAAAGAGCACAGCGACGGCAGGAACGCCTTTCAGGTCACCTTTATTCGACACTGACATCCCAATGTGAGGTTCTGGGGAAAGCTGCGCATCAGAGTGTCTGATCTGCTCGAGCAAGCTTGCGCGGTGCGGGATGGAACGAGTCAATGCCGAGCAAAAGGCAGCACAAGAGCATCAGGAGCAACACAACGTGGCAGAGGAACCACGCGCTCTCCACGTCCCGGGAAGTACTGGCAGGTAGCACAGTCGGGCTTCAGGGTTTCAGGTTTCAGGCTTTAGCTACCTGGGCTTCCCAAGTTTCTTTGGATGTGTTGAGAGATGAATCAGAAGCCATCATGAGAGCAAGGAGAAGGAGATCAGGAGGCAAGGAGTTTCCATTGTTGCTTGGGCTACCGAGCAGGAAGCTGCGCAGTCTCCGGCCACGCCGGAGCTTGCGACCTCCTCGGAAAACCGCCTGAGGCCACTAGGCTGCGCTCAGGTGCATCATCGAGTCCGGGTCGTGCGTCCCGTCACGTATCGGGCTGGCTAGGATGGCGATGATCGATTCCTCATCTTCTTCGGCTCAACTGAAAGATGCCATCTCCGCAGTGGAGTCTTTGCTTGGCGAGGCCGATGGCACTGCTGACATTGTCTGGCTACTGTTTCCAAGCCACCAGGCGAAACGTGAGATGAAGAACAAGCAGCTGTCAGGACCTGACATGGCCATGGCCAGGCAGAGAGGTGTTGAGGTCTACAACTGGTGCAAAAGTCGCTTCAGGTCTTGGTCTAGTCTTGGTCTAGTATTGGGCTCCTGCGACTCTCCGCCGAGGCGCGAGCGCCGGGCGGCCTTCGAGCAGCTCCACGCGGCCTTGGAGGCGCCGCGCGCCCGCGAATGCCCGCGAATGCCCGCGAATGCCCGCGAATGCGAGCTCACGCGATCTCTAGCGAAGATGCCGACAAAGTGCACAAAGGGCAATCACTTTTGGCTCATCGCAGGCCAACGACGAGCATGCTCTGGCCCAGGCTGGGCTTCTGCAGAGAGCGTCTTCGTCCCCACTCCTATCGCGGTGCATCGCGCCACCAGGCCGTCGAAGCAGCGCGGATGGCGGAGGTCGAGGCCGAAGACGTCGCAAAGGCCGAGGCCGGCGCTTGCGACGCTAACCGGCAGCCGAACGGAAAGCACTGCCGCACGCTTCATTCTTCCATGGATTTCTTGCTCTCACGCCGCCACGTTGGCGATCGCAGCTCATGGCTCATGGCTTGAGAAATGTGATTGAGCACAAAACCCCTCAGCTCTCAGCGCTCCTTGTGGGCAAAGCATCTCCCCAACTTTGGACCCTTGTGCTGAAGGCTAAAGTGACTGAAGAATCGCATCTAAACTCCACGGGTGCCAACCTGCACAGCAGACACCAGGCCTCACCAACCCACTATGCAGGACTCCTCCTTGAACTGCGAATCCGGCCGCGGCCTGTCCTGGCGCATGGCCCAGATATGGAACGCGCCTTCCTATGGGAGACGATGGAGAGCTCATGGCATCCATGGCTGATGCACCATGTTGGCTCTCTGCAAGTGCGAAGAAGGCAGTTACTGTGTGCAGAAGAAATTGCTCCGCTCGCTCATTTAGTAGATGGTGAAAGCTGGCAAAGATGTGCTTCGCGAGGTGGCCAGGACTTCTCCCCCGTGGAGATAGTTGTGGTTCAGCCGACCCTGCAAGATTCTCTGGACTGACAGTTGTTGAACATTGTAGGATGCAGGAAACAGCAACAGCAAGAGCCAACCATAATCATAAATACAATAGGAATGACACTTGACGAAAGCCATCCCTTCAGTAACCTCAACAGCCGCAACCAGTGATTCAGGCTTCGTTCTTTTCATGTGTTGGAGGTCTGGGTTGTGTCGGGCATTCCCTTATGTTGGAGTATGTCACCGAGGCCTCTTGATGAACAGGTTTGCTGAGTTTCACGGGGGCAGGCAGGTGATCTCAAAATTCCATCTCGCATGTGCCATGTCTCACTCTCAACCTCAATCTTTCGTCTTGGTATGCAGAGGGGTCGTTCCATCGGGGCGTGCAAGTCTTGCCTGCCTTCCCGTGGATGGGCTTTTGGCATTGCTCAATTCAAAGATCAATCGAGTACTGATTTGCATGATTAGCCTAGCGGAAGGAAAACGAGTCGTTGATGCGCAGCAGAGTTGTCGATGCTCCAAACAAAGCAAGCTGATTCCATCAGATCCCTCAACAGGATGTGGTAGCATTGGACAGTATTGATTTTGCCTGCTTGGTGATGGACTCGGGTTGAAGTGGGTCTTCTAGACCTGGCTTTCTTGTCTTGGTTTGCCATTCCGATGTCTCGTTGCATGCAGCCATGCTAAAAGATGTCCGGCTTATGGCATGTCATGGATTTGGAGCCTGGACGGCTTGGCACAGCAATCCTGGTGCTTGCGCTGAGCGTGCTGGCCTGCAGGACGTTCGTGTGAAGGCGAAGGATGTGGACTCAGATTCCGAGGGCGAAGACTGCAAATTTGACTTGAACGAGCTCGTGGTAGCCCCAGCTGCTCGGCGTACCTTACTTTCGTCGCCGGCCTCTGCTGCGGTTCTCGGAGAGAAGCGCAACGCTTTCTTGGCTCAGGGCTCCTACAAGGTCGTCTCCACAGCAACCCTCCATGAGCCGGCCTTGAGGCATTCGAGTTTGCAGAAGTGGCAGTGCATGGCAGTGCGCTGTCGGTATTTTTTTGAAGGACGGGCAGCGTCTGGTATCTTCAAGCTCAGCCTGGCGACGAGTCGGCCTTGCAGCGTGTGGTGCAGGTGGGGGAGAAAACGACCCAAGTCCGAAGCCGACGAAACCTGTGACGGGCCAGAGACTCTAAGGTGACTTTGTCCATCCACATCAATGGCATTAGCATCAGAGCCTGGAGAAGCAGAAGGCATGATACGCGATCCAATCTTCACCAGAATCTGCTGCGACGGGTCAACTGCTACTAAGCTTGTTAAGGACATGTTGACGAGTGCTCAACGACCACCCTTGCATGGTCACCCTTCAGCCTCGTACAAGCTTGTCGGCTTCACAGTGCGGAGGCTCTGGATGCTGCAAGGCATTCCCTTAGCCGCAAGCACCTCCCTCTTGCCAGGCTGATGAGTCCCTTCCTGGGTCACGTCTCTTCAAGGCAGGGTGCGGGATTTGGAATGCGTCCAGACCAGTTTTGGGCACGGGCCGAGATGCGAACCTGTGCCCCTGCAAAACTCGGTCTGTCCGGTGCATGCCACTTGCAGCTCAGGGTACTAGGAACCTCGTTGCCAGATTCGGTGAGTAAGCAGCAGCTACTGGCTAGCACAGAAGACTGTGGATCTGAGATCGTGGATTTCCACAACGCCAAATCGCTGCTGTTTGCTGTGTCGGGACCCGACTGCGAACAAGATGCTCATCTCCACAGGTTAATCGTATCGCGGTGCTGTTTGTCGATGCGAAACTCAAGGGTCGCAGCTCCCTTCTGAGGAGCGGGCGAAATGGGTCGCAGCAGCAGCTCGAGCCTTGCGTATCTGTCAATGCATTGGAACATGGAGCGTGCTCTGAGGCCCACACATTTCTGTCCCATCCGAGGCATGTTGACCGTGTCGCTGTTTCCGGTTCACAGACTGGTCACACAGCCTGTGCCTGGCCTGGAGTGGACAGAGACTTGGCTTCAGCCGTAGGGTGCTTCACAGCGCCACCGACTCTCCTAATGGTGGTCGCGGATGTTAAAGTTTTTTCCTTCGTCAACACAGCACCTGCTAGTGCACAAGATATGATTCCATCTTGGAACCACGTCATGTGCGAGAGCAGCTGAACCGTATTGATCCATGCACACGAAAGCAAGCTCGTGTAGGAATCCCGAAGCTTCCGCAGCCTCCATCCATACCGAACTTTGATCGTGTGCTGCTGCGGCGGGCATCCTGTCTCCATTCTCAGCTTTCCGGATCCCTGCCTTCTGAACCGTTCATCTTTCACATTCGGCCGCGCTCGCCGTGCTGTGTACTTGCATGACTGAAGCATTCACACCCTGCCAGAAAACACGTCTGCTGGCCGGCTACATGTTGCTCTTCGATCGGAGTGGCCTCACAACCGTGTTTTGCGAGCTCCATGCGCCCCTTAGATAGAATTGAGGGATTGGGCGAATACCGTGCCGACAGTGTTGCAGCTGAGGCCAGTCGAAGATACGGCAGGCGGACAGTTTGCCGATGCTTTGACCAACAGAGAACTTACATTGTTGTGTGGTTCACAGGCTTCATCGCGTACGAGGACCATTCCTGCTCTGCATTGGTTGTGGGGCTCTCTGATCATCTGATTTGCATGCCCGAAGAGCTGTGTTTGATACAAGCCTTCACTTTTCGCTGTAGCCGCTGTAGCCCTGCAGCTTGGCGAGACCCAGGCCAGACTTACCATTGATTCAATTTGCCACATCAGCGATGCTCGGAGCGGTCATACATATGCTTGTGTTTGGGGATCATTCGGTGGTAAGGTCTTGCAAGTTATGCGGGCTTCGCAACACTGGTGTCTGAGCCACCTTTACTGCAAAAGATCTCGACGGCCGAGTAGGTGTCCTTGCCAAGGAGCGGCTTGGGGTGGACTGCAGTTGTTTCACTTTGAACGACCAGAACTTTGCAGCCAGAAGCAGCTTGATCTGCAGATGTGTTCAATGTAGGCTTGGAACACTGATCGAAACCGAAAGCACCTATCGCGACAGAACCGAGATGGGACGCGTGTCGCAAGTTATTCAGATTCAGATTATTCAGCCGACCTCGCAACACTTTGTCTCCATGGCATGGGCTGAGTTCAGCAGAATTTCCTTTGCAACTGTTCACAGTCACGTCGAAGAGAAGATTCCAGGCTCAGGCCAACACCCAAGCATGTTCGCTCTGCCTTGACTCTAGAACCTAAGCGACGCCGGCAAGCCCCAACAAATCTTGTCGACTATAGACCCCCTTCAACCTGAAGGCTTCTTATATCTTCTTATCCCTGTGCTTGTGAGTCGTGACAGCCTGCAGGAGGCCAAGGATGTCTTTGGAGCTTTTAAGTGATTCTCGTTTGCCTTGGCGAGAGGCCTTGCAAACTGGTTTGTGGTTGGCGAGTGCCGTAATAAGAGTCTTGCCCCCCAGCGTGTGAAAGCAGGGACCTTGACGGGCATAGCCAAGGTGTTGCAGAGAAGAGTTTGTGGTTGCGAGCAATCAGAAGCTGGGCAACATAACCTCCTTGTTCATGTGTATTTCTGGCATTGGCATTGGGCTCCACGCACCTGCTGTGCCATGTCCAAGACACGAACGGGTGGAATGAAAAGTTGCTCACCGAGGTAATGTGAAGGTGAAGCTCCGACACGCCATCATGCCCACCAGCAATCTGGAGATGAGGCTCCAAAAAACTCCAACTCCAAGTCATAATGATTGCTTTGACAGCGCTGAGATTGCAAATGCGTCAGGCACTACCGTGCTGCTATTGCCGAGCAAGCTGCTAAGCTACCAAATCTGATGCTCTCAAAAGAGCTTCAAGCGAAGGGACCTTTTCTACGAAGGCACCCCTGGCAGCCAATCGTTGGATTGCAGACTTTTAAGTGTCACCTCTGGGAGGTGCCCAGGGTGTCCGGGCTGGCAGATCACTTAGCTCATTAGCGCGTGGCAACACATTCGCTAACTCCTAAATCCTCCTTGAGTGGCTAGGTCGGATAGCAAGCCACCCGCCGATGACCCTCGAGACACGATGGATGTGGAGGCTGCGTCGCAGGCAACGGCAGCTGGTTGCATTTGTGACTTCACGTCATGCTGGTCAAAGTGCCCTGTCAGGCTTCCTTTCCGGCACGACAGGTTGACTCCTCGAATCCCGAGACTCCTGTCACATCAATTTACATCTGAAGTGTGCCGGAAAAGAGCGGCGTTTTTCATTGAAGCACGTTCCGCTGCTGATCTTATCTGCTTCGATGTTGCCTGCCGCTTCGTCCTCCGTTGTCGTCGTCGCTGTTCTTCTCGCTGCTGCTTCTTTTGGCCCGTGTGCCAGGCCAAGCTTGTCGAATTGCAGTCGCGGACAGATGATGACAGGAAAGCACAGGCGGGGTAAAATTGCCGGCTGACTCGGAGCTCGGTAACTTGACACGGTTGCCTTCATTCAGGCTGCACAGATCCTACTGTCTGGACAGAAGAAGGATGCTTTCCACTACGTCAAGAAGGCCACCAAAACGCATGGGGACGTCCCGGACGTACTTTTGCCCGAATGCGAATGCTTTCGGAAGCTGGGGAGTATGAGATAGCACAAGGGAGGTCTCAAGAGGATGAGATTTGGAATTTCTTCGCCTTATGCGCTGTGAGTTTGATTGCTCGCTGCAGTGAGTTGCTTTCTCCCTGACAGGACAACGTAGATGCCGTCAAGACTATCTTGGAGAGCCTGGATGACACGGTGCGTTGGCAGGACGGGCAGTGATACCGGGAATATCTTCATATCTCTGCCGGCTTGAAATATGACAGCTACAGCGCAGTGTTTATGAGTTTGTTCTCACATTGACATGCTGGACACACCCTGGCTTCGTGATTATCGTGATTGCTTTAAACCGTAAGCTGCAACCACCGGTGGCCGTAGTAAGCTTTAGATATATCGTCTTCGGACGAGCCGATTGTGCAATGCGACACAGGATAAGTCGTCGCTTCTGAAAGACACTTTTTTCAGGACTGGCGCGATTACTGCGGAAGGACATTGTCGACTACTTGGCGTTCGGTATCGGCCGAGCAGCTGCTTCGCTGACGTGTTGAAATCTGTGTTCCTGAGGCAAAACTATGCCAGAGAAATGAAAGCTGATCAGGCTTTGCCAAGAGCACTTCTGTGTGCGTATGCAGCAAGATGTGCGTGCACTTTCAGGTGTCGGAGTTCCTCACATCAATGGCCAGTGACCTTCCGAAGGGTATCGGCCGCGGAAGCGTCGCTTCTGCGCTCCCTGGGAAAGCCTTGTGAGGTACGTCCGATGCCTCGCCGGCCTCGCGGTCGGTTCTTCGCTCGGAGAAGAGCCGTGCCTCCGCCGCATCCGCATCCAGCCGGCCGTCCTCGGTGGCTTTGGACGAGGACGACGAGGCCACGATCTGCCACTTTATGTCGCTTGGGTTTGCTTTGCAAGTGCTTTTCGAGGTCGGCGCGGATGTTGATGAGGCGCACTTGACTTGCTTGGAGCCTTCGTGCCATGTCGGGAATTGCGAGGAGCCTTCGCACCTGGTGGCTCTGACCAACAGCAACAATTTGGATCCTCAGGCATCATGAAGAACTCGGCTCTGCTTCCTTCAGCCTGAAGCCGCACAGTACTTGCCGCAATGTGATTGCACCAAGTAAGCACCAATGCGCATAATGCGCCATTTAAGACTGAGTGCCAGGAAGATTATCAGGAGGATTACTTTCCCTCCAACTGGGTGGAGGAGAAGGTGGCTAGCCCGGACAATATCGCTGGGTGTTCATTGCGGCACGGTTTCTGAAAGCTCTGCCGTGCTGAGCTGCCTGGCATGTTCATGCCTCCCGTTGAGGTTTCGACGGTGCATTCACACGCACACAGGCGACGATCTTAGAGAGACAGCATGTTGACAGTCTGTGCGTCGGGTGTACCACGAAATCCCCAGTGCTTGATCGAAAAAGCCTTTGACCTTAAACCGCTTGCTCCGAATGAAGCACGCACACTTCGCGCATTTTCAAGTCTTCTCGAAGCTCCTGTCAGCCAGGCCGGCAGATGTAACCCGGCAGGTGTCGGAAGAAACCGAGGAGTGTCTTGCTGACTCAAACGCAGACTGCAGCGGACGGCCGACTTGAAAGCCTGAAAGGAGGGCGAGGAGCTCGAGGAACCTGAGATTACTCTCTCACAGGAGGAAGTTGATGCATTGAAGAAAGAGGACTGCCATGCAAGCATGGCAAGACTGCAGACAGCAGTGTGTTGATTGCACACGCTGTTGCATTGTTCATGAAGGCTTTCCGAAATGTGGCTGGGCTCTCGGCGGCGTAATTTCGACAAGCATGCATTCGGCAACAGTCTGCACGGATTCGTGCCTCGGGGCAAGGTTCAGAACAAGATGCAGGAGCTGGATGACGTGCTGGCGCAGTGATCCTTTTGCACTTTAAGCAAGGGTGTTTCTTTTGGCGGAGGTCAAGGGTTGAGGTCATGACTGTGTGCCGCTCAATTCCAAGCTCAGGCTGCCCGTTCGGGTATGGTCGTGCTGGGAAAACAAAGCGGGAAAGGACTCAGTTTCAAGCGGGAGCAAGCAGGGCTGCAAGCAGGGCTGCAAGCCTGATCCCCAGCCTACGCAGGACTTGATAACCTTGTCACAAGAGCGAGGGCGGGGACCTCAGCCCAACTCGCCGAGCAAAGGCTTGAACGGAGCCTTGTTTGCACGAGGTCCAGTGGAGCTTACTGCATTCTGGCGAAAAGGCTTGGGATTGTGCAGGACGGAGCTTCAGTCAAGAACTGGAAATACCGCGCAACCAAATCGCGGACCGTGGCTTTGAGACCTGCGTGGCCAGGAGCTGAAGAAAGATTCCTTCGAGGAAAGGGAGGCGCTGTCATGCAGCGTCTTCTTCCATGCTGTGTTGCTCCTCGCATCACCCCGATCCATCGCTGCAGGATGTGTGGGTTTTCTTGCCTGGTGAGGCAGGGTAGCGAGCCTTGTTCATGCCTGTTGCGTGAGAGGAAGGCTGAGTCCGCCCGTCCAGGTCCAGCCATTACGAGCAACTGTTTTGGAGGACCTCAACAGACTCGCAGTCCTGTCAACAGACTCATATCAAGCTTTAGATGCTTTAGGTAGCCCAAGTCAAGGACACTCCTGAAGAGCAAGATGATGTGCATGCCTCGCTTCACTTGGCAGATATGCCGTTTCAAGTGCCTGTCAACATGTGTCCCGGTACAACAAGGTTCTAATCCAGTACTGGGACGGTGATGAGCCTGAGAAGCGCATAGAGAAGTGTCTCGTGCGAAAGATATGGGGCTGAGAGCCTGGCACAGGTTTCTGCCCAGGAAAGCTGGTCGCTGTTTGCACAAGTCCAGCAGCACTCAAGGCAGAATTGTGGGGAAACTCACATCTGGTTTCGCGAAGAAGTTTCACCGAAATTCGGATCGAGCTTTGCAGCCGAATAGAGGCTCCGGCACCATTGTCGAACCGTAGACATGGTATGCCCGGGCCGCCACTGGAAGCCTGCTCTTGGTCTCTCGATTGAAGTTTCACAGCTCAAGATGAACATACCTGGCGACTGCATCGGGGCAACATGGCTCCGATGCAACCCTCAAAGCTCCGATGATACCGACATCGTGCGAAGAGCATCCAGCAGATCACAGCAGCTCTTTGTACAACTGCGGCTCTCATTGATGTCGTGTCTTAAGAGCTCTGTCTCAATCTGATGATTTTTCATTTGGAGTGGATTCCAAGCTCTTTGAAGCTCTCTTCTCGCATGCCGAATGGGCATGCTGCTGGTGCTGCAGCCAGCTTGGCATACCGCCCCGCACCGTCAATGCAACGACCTGCAGCTACTCACAATACCTTTTTTAAAAGCGGGCGCATAAGTGAGCAACTCCTCATGTACTTGCCCCTTGTGCTCTGCGCTGGCAACCCCCGCTCTGAGAGGTACGGTCCTCCAAAGCATTGGCTTTGCTCGGCCCGTACCTGAGCGTTTGGGTTTGGCCTAGAAGCGGCTTGGAGCCGGAAGGGGTCAGCCGGTCAGCCCTTTGTCGATTCGCTTCTTGTGCAGGTCTTGGTTCCGTCGTCTGCTCATCTCGCCTGGCTCTGCTTTATTGATTTCCAGGAAATCAGCACCCCGATGTTGGTGCAATAGCTTCATGATGCGAAACACTCCAGGACCTGATCCAACAGCACCTGAACAAGCCCGCACAACTACCTCGCTGGTTAGTTGCCTGGTCCGCACATTCGCATATTCCTTTCGGTGCTCAGCAAGATGTTTGCTCCGGCCCGTGTATTTAATTCCAAGCCTGCTGGACTTGGGATGCGCATGTGAACGTGATGAGTTGCTGTCAGATGCAGGCTAGGTGACTGCACTGCTAGAAATAAGGCCCCAAAAAAGCACATAAGCAAAAATTCGGATAGGGATATCCCATATAAACCTCCTTAACAAGGAAGCCCAATAAGGTAGGGATATCCCCCTAAAATGCTTATGCTTATATGCTTTTTGGGTCCTTAGGAAAATCGCCAGATTTGCACTTCTTCAGTGCATGTGCAGCAGTCGCAAGACTGCCTTGGGAAGGTGAAGCATCTGGAGTTCGATGTGCTCATTGCGCATGCACTCTTGGATGGAGCGGCGATCTATTCCCAGGTGAGAACGTAGACATTTGCTTAACGTGCCCAAATCTATGCTGTCATTTGCAGGTGCTGACAGCTGAGGTGGCAAGTGAGCTGAGGGAGCATCTAGCTGGCATCATGAAGACTTGCAAGCTTGAGACTGGCAGAAGCTTTTTTGAGTTTGAGGTATCATGCTGGCCTTCTTTGCGCCACCAGCGTGGATGAGGCAGCTGGGAAGACTTGATTCGCATCGATTTCAGCTTCTTTGCAGCTTGCCGGTGCTCGCGGATGCTCGCGGGTGCTCGCGGCTTGCGTCAGGTCGGCGAAGCTGCGGAGCTGCAAGTGCCTGCCACTTTCAAGCCGGGAGCTGACAAAAAGCCCCACGCCCAAAGCCCCAAAGCCGGCCGTGCCCATTCTCGGCTTCCAGGCTGCCGGCACTTTCCTTGCTACAAGTCACCAACCAGGTGTGGGTGGCATGAGGGCAGGGAGGGCAGGGAGCACTCCTAACTCCGTTGCTTAGGTGTCTCCTTTCGTGAACTTCCTGACAAGCTGCGAACTCAGTATCGTGATGTTGACTTTGGACGAAGCACATGTCGAGGTCACACGATCCAGCGACAAGAGCAAATCGAGCTCTTTAGCGCTTCGAAGAGCCTCAGCAAGGCGGGTAAAAATGAGGGGCTTGGAGGGGCCGGTAAATCTCTCAGCCTAAGGCTGCTGTGCAGCAGCTCTACGACCTCTGTCGCAGCCAACCGCTGCTTGGTCGTTGCATCTGCCTCTCGCTCTCACCCCCGGCGCCTGGGGCCGCACAGGGCTGCACATGCTGTACACTGTACAGCACGTGCACAAACTTGTTTGTGATGCCCGTGCTTGATCAGGGCTGTGCGGCGGCACTACCCACTGCACGACGCATTCAGCAAATGCATCCTGGCCAAGCTCAGGCGAACAGCAACTTTCATAGTTGTCTACACAACCAGTTCTACTTAGCTCTCTTTTTCAAGGTATCTGGGCCTAACTGCAGATGCGTCCGGCTCCCGGCCAAGGCGACATTACTATGTTGCATGTGAAGTGAAGTGACCCAAGCAGGCTTCTGCAGTCGTTCAAGTCCGATGCTTGGCGATACCTGAAGTTCATAGAGGCCAGAAATCTTTTTCACGGAAGCGGAGGGGAAGAGGTTTTATGAGCAGGCATGTTTTACTGCTGTTTGCAAGCCGTTTTGCTGCTTGGTGCTTCAAGAAGGTTGTGGCAAGTCTTGGAGTTATGGTAGGTGCCATAGCTGCGCGTTCGTTGAAGAGGCTGAGAGTCTATTGTAAACCAGGCTCGCCCCCGACAGGTCAACGACACTGTTGGCTGCCCCCAGTCTCTGTCAAGGCCTCAGCACAGGCTGTGGATGCTTTGGCTGCATGCTGTCCCATCCACAGGATTGCAAAGGTCACGTCTGTCGGTTGTGGTGGATGAGGCTTGAGCTGCTGAGCGTTCTGCTGGCTCTGGCCTAAGCATTTACTGGAAAGACATCGTGACCAGAGAGGCTTTTTGTTGGCTTTCCTGTGGGTGAGTGGGTTAGGAAGGCGAAAGGAAGGAACAAGCAACGGAGGGACGAAGCAAAGCAAAGGAGAAGCAAAGGAATAAGCAGGAACAGCAGGAATAAAGCAGATCAAAGTAAGGAAGGGGGGAAGGAAGGCAGTTGAACGAAGGAAGGAGCAAGGGAAGGAACGAATGAAGGAAGGAAGGGAGCAAGGAGGGAGAACATCCGGACAAAACTATCCAAGTGTAAGAGAGAAGGACTGAACTAGTACAACTTGCATGAGTTGCCATCAAGCCTGAAGGGTTCTTTGCGTGCTAGGCCCGTCGAGACGCACCAGCCAGTCATCACGAATCACAGACACGAACGATGAACCATCGTCATTTGCTTTTTATTCCTGTCCTTATCCATGGCTTCAGCCGAAAGGCAAGCTCGAGCTGTAAGTTGTCTTAAACTTTAGACCGGAGGAAAGTACAGTCGATGTGATTTTGGAACTTTTTGCAGGGTTTGCATTAGTTGGAGTGGCTGTTGTAAATTCATGCGTTTTTTTCGATCTTCGACGATTGCAAGATGACATACCGCCCGGACATGTAGACAGGAAGAACCCGTGGCACAGAAACTTGACCGGTGAGCCTATGGCCGACGCAGCCACTGGCAACGATGTCCTCGAACTCTGCGGCGCAAACTTCCCGAGCCGGCCAAGCTTGCTTCAAAGCACAGCCCATGTGAATCATTTCCAAACCCACTGTGCGAGCATTGCGCTGCAAGTCATAATAGGCGGTCGCCTTCCACAGCTTGTTCGAGCACATTCCACGCAGCATGCCAGATCTAAATGCCTTCCCAACCCATCGTGCGAGCACCGTGTTGCAGGGGTATTGCATTTGGATCCATTCCACGGCTTCGCAGGAGAGTTCTGCCCCTCAAAGGCTCTGCTATTGGGCTGTCCACAAACTATGTGAACTTGAATCCTTTCGAAAAGCCTCTCATACAAGCCTCGTGCCGCGCAGTAACAATCGCAAAGTAAAACCAGGGAGATCCTGATTTGCACCGGGAATGTCACAAGAGGTTGTCTTGAAGCAAGGAAGCACATTGTGATAGCAAGATGAAAAAGAAAGCACGTTCGCTTCGGCGGCTCAGCCGAGAAAAGCCACCGTACAACATAAAGAAAACTCAGAGCTTTGCTAGGAAACCCAAGAACGACCCCTCCTCCAAGCCGTGACGGTTTCAAGCCGGCTTAGGTCGTCGTTGTCTCTGACGTGCGGCCAACACCGGCACTACATGGACGTTTGCAGGCAATCCGTGCACATCCGTGCACATGCACGTGTCGACCCAAAAAGCTTCAAAAAGCTTGATTGAGATGGGCTGTTTATTTGCTTGGTTTGGATACTGGGTTTAGTGGCCTTTCAGTTTCAAGTTGAGCCTCTCGTCCTCATCCCGGCTCTACCTACTAGGTATTCCGACTGTAGCAAGGAGGAAAAGGGCCCTCAAAAAAAGAGGTACGTCCATTTCTTTGGCAAGCAGGCGCTCGTTTCCATGGCTACTTCGACAAGCCTCTCAGTGCCGGGGATCGAGGCAGTCGAAGATTGCGCTGGTGGCAATTGTTTGGCCTGTTCACGGACAGGCTGGCGATGGCACCGTCAGTGGCTTGAATTTCCTGGCGAGGGTCTTTGCAACATCGTTGTCATTTGAGGTGTCGACGGGCGCAGGGGGCGAAGGCGACATCGGAGAAGTTGTGCTTCGGCTGCATCGGCCGGGTTGCCCCCAAGGAGTCGTTATACCGGTGCTGGTGAGGCCGTTGCTGCAGCTTCTCGTACTCTGGCAGCAAGCTTCACCCAGGCACTTCCAGCCGAAGGCGTGAGAGCCAGGGTTCTCAGTGGATCCCCTGCCTCTGCCTGCCCTGCCTCAAACGGGTCTTGAAACTTCAGTGCAGGTCTAATGGCCTTGCTGCGCTCCTGTCCAGCCGTGATTTGCAGGCAGCGCCGCCCTGAAACCCTGGGATCATCTTCGTCGTTTAGTGGAAGCAAGGTGCAGGGCTCGAGCATGCCAACACAGGTGTTGTGAGGACTGCATTGCATCGTTACGTATTCTTCCGCACTCGTTTGGTCCGAGTCGTTGAGGCATCATTCTTCACACTTTGGGTCAGCTTCCACCGGGCCACGGCCTCAGCTGCAACGCAAGTGGGCCCGGCGAGGGCAGATAGGCAGTAGCTAATAAACTAGCATAACTTGCTGCTTTTTTCTGATAAGCGTGTGTCCGGGCTGGAGTTGATCATGCCCAAGGCCACCTGTAAACAAAGGAGATGTAGGCTTGCTCTGAGATACATTTGCTTCCAGCACTTGTGAATTCAAGGACTGGGCAGTCGATCGCTGGCAGTCGCTCAGAGAGACGTTGGCACTGCTCGGCACCTGGCGACTCGCCGGACCACTCAGGTTCATCCAGGTCCTCGGCCTTGCACTACTCTTCCCTTCTCAAGCAGATCAGGCAGAGTCTCAGAGCCGCCGAGGGTTCTGCGAAGTATTGAAGTCGCAGGGGTGATGCGCCTCCCGGGGCCGATGGCAAGCTTGTGAGCTTCCAAGAACTTCGGAGTGGTGGAGCTGTTTGTCGAGCTGTCTGTTCTGTGCCGCGCTTGCCGGCAGGAAAGGCCCAGACTCGACGAAGATGTGGCAGTAGAAGCGCATGCTCGTCTCGACAGGACTTGACATCGGATAGTGTTCAGGAGTGTTCTGTTGGTGAGACCCTCTGCCCTTATTTTTTTCCAAGGAGCTTGGCAGAGGCATGGGAGGCACAGACGGGGTTCCAACATGGAATTGGTCGGGTCGAGCGGCTTTTGCTACAGAGCCGTGAGGAGCACAGCCAAGCTCCGTTGGATTTCGCCCGGAACGTCGAAGCCTTGGCTCAGGGTTCCCGACAGACGGTGCTGGCTAAGCCACCCAGGCCTTTCTGCACCGAACCAAGATCTACGAGGTGCCTCGCAGTTTGGCCGAATGCAAAGGTGGCAACTCGGTGTGTGGAGCAGGCTTTCCTTGCGCACACTTCCGGCACTTCGCACTCCGCGCTGCGACTGTTTAGCAGCCTGGAGGCTGGAAATGCTGTTAAACTTGAACGTTGGCTCTCCACGCCCCACTGCAGGACAAGCTGCTGAGGCTGAAGTCTTCGCAAGCATCCCTGCCACCTGTGGCAGTCCAAGCATACTTCAGATATCATGCGCTGTGACCATGCTGGCCAGCTGAGATGACTGCAGGCTTTTGAGTTGCTTCAGCTGCTGGACCCTGCCACCTACAGTTTCAAGGACGGGGCAGCTGCAGAGCCAATTCCGAAGCTGAGTGACAGAAGCCAGCCGAAGCAAGTTTCAAACACAGCATGGGCGAAGCCGAGCTGACACCTGGTGATGCATCCTCTGATTCCAGCTCTAAGTGTCCTGAAGCTTGCTCAAAAGCTCTCACTTGCATGTGTTCCTCATCCCACCAGCCAATTCCTGATCGACAGTGACAGAGGACAGTTGCAGGACTCAGGTGACATCGCAAAACCTGGCAGAAAAACATAGCGAGATAAACTTGCAGGAGCCACCCATCACGTTTTGGGATGCATACTTCGAGTTCACCAGGGTGGCTGGCACCCACTGCTTCCCGTCCGAAGCCAGTTGTTTCTCACCCATGTTTCTCCGACACTTGTGATTGCCCAGTCCGAACCTGAGCTTTTTGAAGCAGGTTTAGAATACGTCATGGAGACCGCCTCTGGCTTCATCAAGAGCACCTGGCTTAGTGCCGGCGATTGCAGAGCGATTAAGTGATCTGCACACAGCAAAGAAGATGCTGCGGTTGGTGCTGTTCTTGATGTTCTTTGCTTTGCCAAGAACGCGACTTCTGCACGTCTGCGTGGCTGCTGGCTCCCTTCCCACAGCTCAAGCCATTGGCTGGAGCCTTGTGGAGTGACGAATAGCCTCACTCCGTCACTGAGGCGCGCAGGCGCAGCATGGCGTAGCGAAGGTTTGGGAGCAGGGTGTTGATTCGGCTCAAGGTGGGCCACAGCGCGACACTCATGAGAGAGCGCAGTGGTCCTTACATGACATGGCAAACGCAATCGTTCCAAAAGAGGTAGCTGGCACTTTCCAGCCGCTAGTTGTTTCCAATGGCAGAGAACGCATCGAAACGACGCCGCCGTGGTTTGCTTGACCTGTCCTCTCATTTCCAACTGCACCTCGACTTGAGTTCATAAGCCAGAGTCAGCGAGCGGGCACGTCGCCGAACTGTGTTTGTCGTGAAACACACGTGTGTGTGCAGTAACAACCGTAAACGACGAACGTCGACAGCACTCTGGCTCGACGAAGCTTTTCAGTTTAGATTTCTGATCATTACTCTCGACGCCATGTCGACGACTCCCGGGGCAGCTTCGTCGTCGGCGCAGCCGATGCTGAGGAAGGCACCGCCGCAACAACCTCAGCCGACGGTCGCACCAGACGCCGGAGTGCGCGTCGCAGTGCGAGAACTTCGCAATGTCCTCCGGAAGGGACGCGACGGTGGCTTCGGCGCTTGGGCTGAGCTGGCGGCGAGCCTGAACATGGAGGACCGGACCTCCCTCGCCGAGCTCCTCGCCGTGACGGCCGTGGTTCCACCGACTTCCCCGCCTACCGACGAGGAACGCCGGACCTACATGGGGAGGTTGTTCCCGCAACGGGCCACGACGGAGGGGACGCCGGTGATGGTGAAAGCAGCTCCAAGGCCGCCGCCGACCACCTCTGCCACGCCGGGACATGGATCTATGACGCCCAGATCGACGGGTCCCAGGACATCGACGATGGCATCAACTACGCCGCCTCCACCGACGGGTCCCGGGAGCTCCTCGGCGGCGACCATCCTGCAGCAGAACGTCGGGGCGCCCCCCCACGGCGTGGGCACACCAGGTGCATTGGCAGCCGCCGCAGCCCACGGCGGCAAGGGACGACGACCAGGTGTCGGGCACGGTCTTCCTCGACGCTCCCACGACGTCTACTACCAGGACTGCGGCGGCCTTCTTGGACCCGACGGAGGCGAGGGAGCCCGAGACCACGGCGTCGCCGACCATCACGGGGTTCCCGGGTCTCGCCGCAATGGAAGCCCAGTCGGCGCTGCCCTCTGGCACGGCCACGCCGGCATACTACATCGACGCGGCTGGTCATCGGGTGCGGGCCCCGCCAGAGGGGGCACGACGACCTGCCGACGCCACTGGCAGCCAGACGCCGGCTTCGACTATCGGCGGGGGGCGCCGAAGAAGTCATCAACATCGCCGCGTCACTGCTTCGGCAGGTGGGCCCCCGACAGGAGGACGACGCCCACTCGACGGCCGGGAGCCAGTCATCGGCAGCCAGAGGGAGATCGACGCACCGAGGCGAGCGGCCGACCATGGACCCACCGCCGCCTCCTCCAGTGATCGACGCACCCGTCCAGGTCCAGCTTCCCGCCGCTCTCGGCGGCTTCTACGCCATGGCGCCGAGCCCGAGGGCAGCCACCACGAGAGCGCCGACCCCCCCGGCGGTGGCGGCAGAGCGCCCGGATTGGATGTTCCCGCCGGGCGCAAGCCCAGCAGACCAGCCCGCCGGTTCCTCGACGGACGCCGGGCCTTCGACCACACCCAGGACGACGACACCGACGGGGGCAAGATCCAGGTCCAAGACGGCGTCGGGGTTTCGCGAGCACCTGAGCGACGAGAGGATCCGCCAGATAGAGGTCAACATGACCGATGACTATCGGCAGCACAAGCGGGCTATGCACCGCCGAGGCGCCCGCGCCGTCAATGACCCGCCGAAGTCAGTCAAGCACTTGCTCAAGGCGACGTTGAACGACGTGATCGCCGAGGAGAACATGGACAGGCAGGGCATCGACGGGCACAAGCCGAAACCACCGCCGATCTCGGCGCCCACTTACTGTGCATACTGGTTCTGCTCGACGCTACCCGCCAACACACGCGGCGCCCGGATCCCTTGGCAAAGCCAGGAGGCCGGCCGACGTGTGCTTGGTTGGTGCTCGCACCCTTGCACGTCGCCGCATTGCCCCCACTTCGACGACCTTTACGACGTAGACCAGCCGGGCCTAGGCCGCTGTCTACGTCCCGTCCTGGAGGGCAACGGCCGTGACCATATCGGTCACGAGTGCGCCGCATGCCACGGCATGGTCGGCGCACAGGATTGATTTTCTACGACGCCAGCGGGTGCCCCTGTCACCCGGCTTCGGCCATCGGGTCGGCACCGCTGAGGCAGTCGACGGCGGCGGGGGCAGGATCAGAGCCCACCGCCGCCCTGTACTACTTACTTTTTCGACGACTTCGTCGTTGCCAGAGTTGCTTAATCTCGGCGGTTACGCCGCACGGTGCCCTTTTGGCGGAGCCCGACGCACCCGACAAAAAGAGCGCCGTGCACCTGAAGCCTCGCCCGTCGCGCCTGCCGTCGCTGTCGGCCTCTCTCTCTCTCTTCGTTCGTTTCGGTCGTCGCTGCTGCCTTTTCTGCTTCCGCCGCAGCCTTTTCTGCTCTGGCTCGAGACGCCGACTAGCACTAACCCCCACCTCCCTCGACTCAGGGCGCCGGTCATGAACCAACACGGCGCATCGTCGGGACCCTCCGCGACAGTCGCCGACTTCTTTCGCGACGTGGCCTCGGCAGGCGGTTCGGCCTACATTGCTACCTTGGCCAGGTTCGGCGCGATCAACACGCCGGCCGTGAGGGACTCCTTCGCCGTCCTTTTGGAGAACGGCGTGCCCGAGGGCCTCTGCTACAGATCCGCCGGTGCCGCCGCAGCAGCCAGAGCCAACGGCGGCAAGGCCACCCAGGCACGACGTACCGAACAGAAGGACCCTACCCCGGGCATCACTGGCGGCGGCACTGGAGGCCATGGATCCCGGGCGACGCCAAGACACCCTCGCCGCCATCGACGCCAATCTGCTGGCATCGTCGACCCGCCGGGCCATGGAGTCGCGGGTGAGGACGGTGGGCGCCCTGGCCGACAGAGGCCAGTTTCCCCTCTTCCCGCTCGACGCCAACAAGCTTCACACCATCGCCGGGGCCATGCGGATCGCCGGCTACAGGTCGACCGGGCTTTACCTCGACGCGGTGGTATGGCATCAGGAGAACACCCTCCACACGCCGATCACCCCTGGACTCCGACGGGTGGTCAAGACGCTGACCAAGGCAGCGGCGAGGGGCCTGCCAGGGTCCAGGCTCAAACAGGCCTTCGACCTCGACGAGCTCACCAAGTTGGTCGACGACACGGCACCATTCGGGCCCTTCAACGCCGGCTTGGTCGCTCACGCCGTCGATGTCGTTATCGTCGCTACTTGGTTTATGCTGAGGGAGGTGGAGCTCGCGGCGGCCCGGGTCAGAGACCTCGGGGTGACCGGCGGTGTCGCTCGACATACCCCTGCACAAGACGGCGCAGGGGGGGCAGGCCGACCTCACACGACGCACATTCCGATGCGTCTGCACTTCGACGGCCCACCCACTTTGCCCAAGATGCGCCGCGCACCGGATCCAGGCGTCAGCGGCCGCGACGCCGGCCGACTTCTTGTTTCCGACCAGACCGACGGTGCAGAGATCCAAGGCGGAGTCAGCCGAGATGTTTCGGCTGGTGCTGGACGCCGCCGGCTTCGAGACGGTGTACCTCGACGACCAGGGCAAGCGCCGATTGATCTTCGGCGGCCACGCCGCCAGAGTGGCAGGTGCAACCTTTCTGGCGATGAGGGGGGTGCCGGTCGCCGTGATCCAGCTGCTCGGCCGATGGGCCTCCACCGCCGTCGAACGGTATGTTCAACAGGCACCCCTCGCCGTGGCCGCCGGCGTTCCAGCCCAGGCATTGGCAGCGGCGGGTGCGTCGACAACGACGCCGGCCCAGCTCCTGGCGACACCGACGCCGTCGGCCATCATGGACTCGATGCCGACGGGGAGTGCGGCAGGGCACGCCGATACGGCGGTGCCGGCCTCGCACCCGCTGGTGCCCAATGTCGACTTCGCGGCAGAGGTGCCCGGCGTGGAGTTCGTGCCAGAACCCGTCAGGATGCCCGTGGCCGACGCGATCGGCGACTCGGCGCCCCGGTATGTCATGAACTGCCGCACCAAAATGGTGCACAAGCCGGGGGTCGACGAAGCGACGACAGAGAGGTCGGATTGGCAGGCCAAGTGTGGCTGGCCTTACGGCGTGCGACAGTTCTTTCGCCTCTCCGAGCTGCCGCCGGATCGGGCCTTATGCCGCAAGTGCTTCCCGACGGAAACCGTCGACGTTGAGGCACCTGAGGCGATCGACTCGTCGTCGAGCTCCTCGTCCTCCACTAGCGGAGCGACGTCGGACTCCGACTGAGCCACGCCGGGCTTGATCGACGGATCGCCGTCACCAGTTTTCCGCCGAGGGGTCGCCGGCAATAGCCGTGAGCGGCCCCGACGGCCATGGCACCAACTGGACGACGACCCAGGAAAACCACGCACAGCTCAGATCAGATCGCCGTCGAGGGCTCGCGCCCGGAACTTACCGACGGCTGTCTCACCCGTAGCCCCCCATTTTCTCTCGAGCACGGAAACCGACATAGGACGCCGTAGGTCTTGTTAGCCATGGCACTCCCGACGGTCGCGGCCTCGATGGTGCAGCTGGACGACCTCCTCGCCGCGGCCGGCGCCAACGACAGCATCAAGAACTACATCAAAGCCCGGAAGATCACCACGACGCCCACATTGGCCCTGATTGCCAAGGACGTCGAGAGGTTCACGACGCACATCATCCACCCGTACATCACCGGCACCCGCATCGACGGCACCGAGCACAAGGTGGAGGACGGGCAGGACGACGTGGCCACAGCAGTCATGACCCATCTCTTCGTCGAGGCCACACGCCAATGGACTGCAGCAGCGTCGTCGCCGGTCCCAGCCCCGACCGCCACGCCCGCGCCGGCGGCGGCGCCGGCAACGACGGCCACACAGGCCATTCCTGACAGGCCTCCCAAGACTTTCTCGGCGTGGAACCAGCAGGTCAACATCTATGAGGAACGGCGCCTCGACGGGAAACGGCGGACCTTCCCAGCACATGAGCTTCTTGGCGCCGAGGAGGTGCTGGCCAGGATGTGGTTCGAGCACACCACCTCCAAGATGTATACGCCGGTCACCCTCGGCGAGATCGTGTCACGACGCACCTGGACGGCGCGAACCTTGAACCCATTGGCGTTGTCCAGGTCGACGTCCGCCGCCAGCTCCAAAGCGCTGCGGCTGGAACATGGCCTCCTGCTCCAGGAGGAGCCGACGGAGTGGGTGCCCAAGGGCCTCTTCTCGACTATTGACGGAGCCAACGCCGCCCGGTGGGCATGGATCCTGCTGGGCATCGGCGAGGAGGCCGACGTCATGACATATAAAGCACTTTCCCTGCATCCGGGTGCCCGTTAACATCCGGGTGCCTGGTCTTGTTGGTTTGAGTAATGATGATGACTTTGCCTGAATCCCAGCTGGATGTTGCCAGCGTTGCCTTCAAAGTGACTGAGTGTGTTACCACTGAGGGACTAAATATTCATTGGACAGATTGATTCTGATTCAGATCTGAGATCTGCCGAACCAAGACGACTGGATTTCTCACATCCCCGCACGGGGCTCTGTGAGTCGTGCAAGGAAAAAAAAACCTAATCCCTTATAAAGTAATACCTGCCCTAAACCACGGCTCAACGCCAAGTGTTTGCTTTCGCCAACTGAAAACACCTTAACCCTAAGGACCCTAAAGCTTGTGACTTCATGATGGCCAGTGATGCTGATCTATCTGGTGGTGGTCCTATTCTACCTGCTACTTGACTTGTTTCATGTACTGACTCATTTGTCATCTAGTCTTAAAGCGTATATATATATATATATATATTATATATATATATATATATTTATATTATGCTTGCCGTGACTTTCGGCCCAAATTTTGCAGCAGCGGTTTTCCTGCGCTGATGGCGGACGGTATGCCGGAGCTTTTAATTTTCCAGTTCCTGAGACTGGAAAGACGCGAGCGCTTGCGTCAAATCGACCAGCTTATGCCGGAGACGCTGGCCCTCCTCCTGTACGATCTGAGCAGGATCCAGGTGGAGCGATTCGCCATTCAGCACATGCGGGCCGCGGCCTCAGTTTGTTTTGGGTTGTCGCCGCAGCTCACAGCCATGCTTGTGAGGAACAGTGGGAGCGGGAGCACCAGGAGGAGCAAGAGGAGATGAAGTTTTGGTGGAGGCCCGCTGCCTCTTTCCCAATTACCATTCCACTTTCCTTCTGCTGCAGGAAGGAGGTGAGAGGGAGGAGATGGTGGAAGTTTTCGTGGAGGCCCGCTGCCTCTTTCCCAATTACCATTCCACTATTTTTCCTTCTGCTGCAGGAAGGAGGTGAAAGGGAGGAGATGGTGGAAGTTTTCGTGGAGGCCCGCTGCGGTTTTCCCAATTACCATTCCACTTTCAATCCTTCTGCTGCAGGAAAAAGGTCACAGGGCCAGGGGCCGCAGCCGTAGCCCCCGTCGATGAGCTATGGGGTCTGTGGGACTGCCCCTGAGACGCACGGGATCAGATCAGACACACCAAACCGCAGACATGTGAGGGATGAGAGTCCTCTTGAGCCGCCAGCCTGACGACTTCTGCCCCCAGATGAAAAGTCTTGCGAGCTTTGCGTTGCTGGTTGCGTTGCGGGGTGTCCTGGCAGCCAGCAAGCCCGGGTTCAAAAAAAAAAAGGGCTCATTCAGTTTGCAGGGTGTGAGGCCTTTCGTCGGAGAGTGAATCGCAGGCATGTCAGCCGGCTCTTTTAGTGGCTTTCCGGTCAGTCCGAACTTAGACTGGCAGTCCATTCAGACTGAGAGTGAAGCTGACACCATTATGTGCGTTTTAAACATATCATCATGAATAATATTATAATAATAATACTAGACCGACAGCCAGTCTCAGAGTGAAGCTGACGATGCCGTCGTTTGCGGTCCTGGATCAGCTGAGCGAGGATGAGGAGGAACAGCCTGGAGCTCAACACAGGGAGCTCGGTTAAAATCATGCCATGCTCAGCCTTGGACCTATCATTCTCAGGGGTCTGAAGAATGATATTCCGAAGCCAGCTACCAGGCCTTGTTCTATTTATCCAAAACCCCAGCCCTGTCGCAGCGCTTGAATCAGGACTACGAAGAAGCCCTCCGTGAGCCCAGGTACCAGGCCTCGTTCTCAGTAAAGCAATCCAAACAACACCAGCCCTGTCGCAGCGCTCTACTCAGGACTACGAAGAAGCCATCCGTGAGCCCAGGTACCAAGCCTCGTTCTCAGTAGCAAGTCCAAGCAACCCCAGCCCTGTCGCAGCGCCTGAATCAGGAGTATGAAGATGCCATCCACGAGCCCAGGTAGCAGGCCTCGTTCTCAGTTTCAAACAACCCCAGCCCTGTCGCAGCGCCTGAATCAGGAGTATGAAGATGCCATCCGCGAGCCCAGGTAGCAGGCCTCGTTCTCAGTTTCAAACAACCCCAGCCCTGTCGCAGCGCCTGAATCAGGAGTATGAAGTTGCCATCCGCGAGCCCAGGTAGCAGGCCTCGTTCTCAGTTTCAAATAATCCCCAGTCCTGTCGCAGCGCCTGAATCAGGAGTATGAAGAAGCCATCCGCTAGTCGAGCGCTCACGGTTCAGAAAACAGTTCTGAAGGTCCATGTCTCAGTCAGTCTCAGCTTTCATGTTATATTCCATCGCTCCAGCAAACACTGAATCCGTGCTCAGGCGTGCAAGCTGCGTCCACTTGCACAGCAGAAGCGAAAGAAGAATGATGTAAAAGCTCTGCCCGGACTTGCCAGTGTGTCGCTTCTGAACAAGAGGTTCCTTTCAGTCACGCCCTTCCGGGCGGACTTGGCGACGGCAAAGCCCTTGGGCTGGCAAGTGGTGTGCGCCTGAGTGAGCACGATGATGATGTTGCAATGCTTGCATGTGCGTGTGGCCAGGTCGTGGACCAGCCAAAGAACATGGTGAAAGCGAGCGGTGCCAAGGTCTTCAGTGGAACCAGGGTACTGAAGCATTGGTCCACCATAAGCACATACCTCAGAAGCAGAGTGCCTGAAATTCGTGTTGTCCCACTCGATTCACTGAGCTCAGGATGCTTCCAGTCGACGACAAGAGTCACCAGCGGCCTGGTGAGTGAGCGTGGCATCACAGCCGAGTTCTCAGCATGCCTTTATGCTGCCATCATCATGGTGAACGGTGTTGGGTCTGCTCTGATGAGGACCTTGCGAATCAGATCCGGTACTCCCTTCAGTACCAGGAGGCCATCAAGGCCTCCGGACGAGCTCCGGGCCAGTACCTGAGTGCAGCGACCGGGGAGTGGATGTCAGGCCGGACACATTCAGTGAAGGGATTCACACCTGCAGCTATCACGTTTCCTTGTAGGCCTGCCGTTGAACTGGACATTGCCGGTGCAGAACGTTGTCTCGCGCAAGAACTGCCTCGCCATGTTCCCACACTTACTGGAGACGGACCGGTGCCATTTGTTATGTGAGCCTTAACCGCATCCCCTAAACCCCACAGCCCCCACGGCAGACCCTAAATCGCACGACAACATCATCATCACCGTGCAGGAGGGAAAACTTCCTGTGATATCGCTCTTCACAGGGCTGGCGGGGCTCGACCTGGGCCTTTCCAAGCCGATGGCCCAGTCAGTGTCAGTTTGATGCCGGATTGAGGATGTTGCTGGCTTGTGTCATGCGGCCACCTTCCGGACAGCTCAGACTCAGTCAACAACGTTTTCAGCAGCATCATGCCATGAAGTGTAGTGTTCAAGTACTTCGTAGTTGGTCATAGGTCCAGGTGTAGCACTTAGTTGGTGGCTTGTCATTGTCAGTTTTCTGGTCAGTTACAGACACAGGACTTGCCAATATAAAGTCTTCTTGTCAGTTGTTTGCTCAGCATGAAATCAGCCGATTCCGATGTCGCAGCTGAGCAGCTGGGCACTGTGCGCATGGTGGGCATCAATCAATGCAAGACACGCAGCGTCAATTTTTGCATCATGATTTCATGATCATCACAGTGACAAATTAAATGTTCACTTGGCCGGCATCCTCTCTGAATTGTTGTTCTCAGGATTCCTGTGGGCACCTTTGTCATGACGAAGTGGCATGGCTCGTCGTGTGGCGCTCAAACTGACTGAGTCGACAGACCTTGGAAGAGGTTGTATCTTTGAATAGTTTTTCAATTCAATGTCAAGTTGGAGGTACCAATGGTGCTGGACGTCCAAAACGTGGCTGAAAGCAGAGGACGTTTGTGTTTTGGGTTGGTTTATGTTGAAAGCATCGAACTTCTAAGAGGGCTCCTGCTGCAGGACGGCTGTTATCCCGAGGAAGCGACAG